GCGAATAGTTTCAAAATTTCCGTCGAGGCCGCTAGAAGCAGAGTGGCCTAACTGCAATTTTATGACTAGAGTTACTAGCATAATTTTTACAAAATTAATAGTACAGCTTCATCTTCGCCTAAGTTTGCGCATTTTTATTTTCTTCCATATTCAAAATCTTGTTTTTTGTTATTAGGTCACTCTGCCTCTAACAGTCCCATATTTAAATTGAAATCCCTCATCCCCTCATGGGGCATGGGGCGACCTCATTTCTATATCATATACTTGATCCACCATGCGTCCTACTCGATTTAAACAAAAAAATATTTTCACGGGATTCGAACCCAGGACTTCTCGCTTAACGCAATGCTGTGCCACACAATCTAGAAATTTACTAATATATTATAAATACATCAGGATTAAATGCGCGATAGTACCTTTTAATTAACTACTTTGTTAGAAGAATTTTCTTATTAAACCATACAAAAGAAAATAACTCACTGTCTGGATATACCAGAAATATTTTACAATACGACTGAAAATATTGAAGTTATATCGGCGATCAGATCTAGAAACGAATGGAAAAGAAAAGAAGAAAGATCTAGAAAGCTTAATATCTCTAGTTTATGTTCGGCTTCTAGGTTATGTTAGCTGCGCCTGCGACTTCGTCCGCGTGGACATCTTTTAAGGCCCTCCATGGGGCATGGGGCGAACACATTTCTGTGTTCGTTTCACTGATCCGTTTTTTTAACGGGCAAGTAGTTGATCAGACTTCTGTGCCCTGCCCGACCGAAACAGTTTTACGTTTCCCTGGGAATGGAACACAGGACCTCTCGCGCTTAACGCAGTGCTAGGCAATACGTTTAACCATTAGGCACCGTGGTAGGTCGAAGCCTACCACCCGCTTCCTCCAACCAGAATGTAAACTGCTAAAGAACAGTTGTAACGATTTTGTATTCTCTTGGTAACGAACACTTTTTCGTTACCGTACAGTTTTGCAAATCAAGATGTAGTGTCTGTACCGTACTCCATTTATCTGTGGGGAAGGAAGCACGTACCGTGTCCTACCGTTGTTATTCCGAAATCTAAGCACGTAGTACATCCAATAATTATAATGTTATTGCCCACTTCATAATAGCATTATTCTATAGATAATTCGATATTACTGACATTGTTTGTGTAATCGATTATCGCAGTGGGCCGATTTGGTTTTAGATAAAGTGATAAGACGTGAGTAATATTGACCTTTGATTACAATTTATGTTAAGTGGGGATCTAATTTTAGGGTTCCCCACCACAAAGTTATAAACTCCCACCCTCTCTACCTGTCTATCTCGTGAAAAGCGTCAATATCTCAACCATATATACCAAACTTGTTGATTATCAATTTCTTTTCAGTTTAATACAATATATCATATTGAATTAAGTATTGTGTGTTTATACAAACAGTATACTTTGAAAACTTTAATTTTTTTCACATGTTATTGCACATGAAGGCACTATATAATTTAAGAATCGAAAACAAATTGAAAAAATGTTCAACTCGGGCAGGACTTGAACTAGCATCGTCAGTGTTCCGTGCTGTTGCTCTACCAATTGAGCTACCGAGTCGCTGACGACGCCGGTTCAAGTCCTGCCCGAGTCGAAAATGGTTTAATTATTTTCGATTCTTAAATACTACACTTATAAATCAAGCACTTTTTAACGGATTAAAACACGAAATGTCGCCTCGTGACCATGGCTTCTCCCAAGCCGTCCGAAAACGTCGAGCTGTCGAAAAATCAACGCCTTTTGCACTCCTTTGCTGATGGCGGGGCCCTTTTTGCCGTCTGAAACCTACTGAACCATCGCTCACATCGAGTAATTTTTGCTTCTATGTTTAACTACTTTAAATTAGTTTAAATATTGTACAACTTCACGCCCATAGTGCAAACCTATCTTTGTAGCTGAATGGTTCTAAGTTTGAATCCCGGGAAATAGTTAAATTGTTTCCGTAGACGGACATATTATGTTCCCTCGTTTCTTTACAGTGCGAGACATAGTGAAACTTGTAAAATTGCACTTTTATTGCCTTTTAACGAGTTGTAAAAGATGGTTGACTCTCGTTGGTAGAAGTTTTGATATTAGTTGATACAGGAATAGCTTGAGCAACTCTTAAGCTGTACAATTTGCATACAATCGAACTTTCCTAACTCTGCTCAAAGTTGGAATCGGGCAAATCACCTGTAACTTTTTTGAACCTCATTTTCAAAAGATAATAGATCTTTTTTCCCTGAAATAATATAGTAATAAATCATTATACTGTGCTTGTAAGTAGCCTCTCCTCTGACTCACTGCTTTTGTTTTAAATATGTTTTTCTTATAAGCTATATTTAAATAAAACACTTTAACGGTTTAAAACAGGTTACTGGTAGACCACGGCTGCTGCAAAGCATCCGAATTATCGGGCCGTAGTTAAAATAACTTTCAAATATATCGCGTTTTAAACAGTTAAAGTGTTTTATTTAAATATTCTAATGCTACTTCAAAATGAAGTACAAATAATATCTTTGTCATGTTTATAAAACGACAGTGTTATTCTTGACATGTCATTTGTTACAAGATAAGCCTGTGAAACCCGAAGTATTTTTACGACCATACGATTGACGAAACATGTTGGACTGATTATCACATTACATTACACCAGTGAAGTCGTCGAAAGTCAATTTGATGTACCTATTACAATGTCTATATTTAATACAGGTACTGCATGTAACTTATCTTCATCTCTATCACTTCGCAAGCAGTGTGACGAGGGCTCGCCGTCTGTTATTCGTCAGGTAATTAACTGCTGAAGTGCCTCCTGCGTGATAGGTCATGAGTGTCGGTGGCAGAATCGATCACACACTCACTGTACTAATTTGCTCGTCAGCCATTGTCCGTAATCAAATATATGAAGATCGCTCTTTTCACTATCTATTGTTTAAATAAAACACTTTAACGGTCTAAAACGCGATATATTAGTTAAACTTATTTGGAAATGATTTTTAACTTCGTCTCCCCGTGACTACGGCTGCTGCAAAGCATCCGAAACGTCGGGCCGAAGTTAAAAATCATTTCCAAAGTTTAACTAATATATCGCGTTTTAAACCGTTAAAGTGTTTTATTTAAATGTACTACTCGCGTAAACTATAGACAGTAGCTATCTATTGTTATAGCAATGTTTGGCTAATCAAAGGCGGGGTAGATCCAACATCATTTTTTTTTTAATCAATTTAATTTTTTAACTAAACACTTTAACGCTTTAAAACACGATATATATCATTTAATCTTATTTGGAAGCAATTTTACAAAGGTCCGACATTTCGGACGCTTTGCAGCAGCCGTTCGTTTTGAACCGTCAAAGGCGTTTTATTTAAATGTGTACTACTCGCGTAAACAACAGCCAGCGGTTAATTTATAATTTTTCTGAAACATGATAGATTTTTGTCTGGTTATCTGGATATTAAACGGGTATATCGAAATTCTGTACGGGTCACGAACCACCGTCCACAGATGAAAAAGCCGTCATGTAATCGCGTTTCGGTTCCAGTCTGTGGATTTCAGAATATCCGGAGCAAAAAGAGGTCGACAGGGCGTCATGTATAGATGTTATATGGCTACCCAAGACATATGACATCTGCCATCTCATGTTGTCTGTCCTTCTCTATCAAAAATAAAAAGGTCTGTTGTTTTCTCAAATCATGCACATAAATTAAACGATTTTAACTGTTTAATACTAGAAATATTTTGATTTCGATTGTTTGCACGCTGTAGTCACAAAGTAGCTAAAGATAAGAATATAAGATAAGTACATTTAAACCGTTCAATTGTGAAAAAAACAATCTTCGAAAACTTTTAATATTTAAAAAAAAAAACGACACTGGAGGGCGACTTCACCTTTTTAACTTATAAAGAATTTGCACCTTTGTCTCGTTGGTGTTTTTATATATGTCTTATACAATGTCTTTCGTATGTAGTGTAACTTTTTTTTAATAATCTTAATTTTTGATGTCGCGTAATAAACTCTACTCACTTACGTATACTTGGAATTTGAATTATAATTGGAATTGCGTTTGGGTCTCGTTCATACTGACATAGCGATGAAGTGAAATGGTGTTTCTGCGTCCGTCTGTGGTATTCCAAATTTCCAATATTAAGTCAATTATTTCATATTTCAAATTAACCCCACGGTGGTGTTCTCTTTACAATAAAACAATTGTAATGTACACGTTGTTAATACGCTCTTGGCGAATAAAATGTGTACGAAATAGTGAAATGAATTCGAGTGGACTGTGTTCTAGATATCTGAGCCTGAATTGGGTCATGTCACTTCCCTGTACATACGTCGGCTTACAATATGATACCAAAAATTATATTTAAGTGATTGAAAGCGCGAACAAGTCGATTCCAATTCAATTCCAGAATTCGCTTCAAAACAGCGAATTCAAATTCTGTGATTTATTGGTTTTCTGTATTATATCGTTTTCTATTTTATTTATTACTAGCGACCCACTGAGCTTCGGTGATACTAAATACACTACAGAAAAACTGTGAACATTGCATATAAAAACCTACCTGTTGAATCACTCTGTCTATTTGAAAAAATAGCAAAAAAATCCGTTTTACGGCAAGAATTATCTTAATGAAGGTTTAAATAAAACACTTTAACGGTTTAAAACGCGATATATTAGTTAAACTTATTTGAAATTGATTTTTAACGTCGGGCCGAAGTTAAAAATCATTTTCAAATAAGTTTAACTAATATATCGCGTTTTAAACCGTTAAAGTGTTTTATTTAAATGTGTACTACTCGCGTAAACTATAGACAGTATCCATCTTAATGAAGGTTTAAAAATATTTAATATATATACGTCCCCGAAAATAATATTTTTTAATAATTATTTAAACAATTAATGCCTATGTTTTGCGAACTTTTTCTTAATCTTTTTTTTTCTGTTTCAGGTGTTCGAATTTGGCCTGAACAATATCTCTAAACAAAAATGGTAAGTGCATTTTTTCAATATCTTTGTTTTTAACCGAGTCAAACGTGTTGCTAAATTTTTTGTAATGTTTCTAAATTCCGGCTTTTGAATGTAATATACAAAAGGCGGTTCGGCTTTCGTCCCATTATCTTGATTTTCACTTTATCTAATCTGTTCTATTATTATAATATATATACATTTGATAGGTACCAGACGGTGTATTCTGTGGGATCCAAGTTAACTTGTTTAAAGTTAAAAGTGGATGTCGCACAATCACTTCCGGTTTGAGTAGATCTCGTTTCCGTTGACTTAAACCACTTGTTGCTCTGAAGGAACGTGCAAGTCTGTTCGTTTTGTAAATATCTTTTTCCTGTTAATCATTTAAAGTTCGGAAAATATAATTAGCCTCTCTTGGTAAACGTAACACCTAAAATAATCGTAGATTTACAGCTTAACTAAAATGGATATTTTATAATTGCTTGTATTTCTTCGGTGAACTAAAATATTAACAAATATACCTATATAATATTAAAGGGCAAAATAACTGAATAAGAAAAATATGTATTATATTATACTATGAATATATGTTAACTATTTCTTTGTTTCATAGTTTCGAAATATAGTATAATACTATATATTATTATCGCGAGCTGCCCAACAGTTAAACGTTTAGCATTGCGTTAAGCTCAAGAGCTGCTGGGTTCGTATCCTATGGAAACAATAAATTGTTTCGCTCGGGATACAGGAGTCTGATAAACTACTTGCCTGTCAAAAGAACCAATCACTGAAAGGGACATAGACATGAGTCCGCCCCATGCCCTGTGCCCAATAATATTAATTAATATATAATACGCAACAGAAGCCCTCAAAGATAAATAATTTCCCCCTTTTTCCACATTTCCCTCTCTTTCTTCACTCATGGTTGCGAAGTGATGTTTTATAGCCTAAGGTTTTCCTCGATAAATGCTTTAATAAACACAAAGAGAATTTTCAATTAAATCCAGTAGTGTCTATAGTTTACGCGAGTAGTACACATTTATATAAAACACTTTAACGGTTTAAAACGCGATATATTAGTTAAACTTATTTGAAAAATTATTATATATTATTATTATTATTATTTTGTCTCCCCGTGACCACGGCTGCTGCAAAGCATCCGAAACGTCGGGCCGAAGTTAAAAATAATTTTTCAAATAAGTTTAACTAATATATCGCGTTTTAAACCGTTAAAGTGTTTTATTTAAATAAATCCAGTAGTTTTTGATATTAGCGCGTTCAAACAAACGCTTCAGCTTTATAATATTAGTATAGATATAATCTATCCGCTATTATTATTACCTATTAAGCGATGATAAAGTGGTTCATCCCAGCGGTGTTGCTATAACAACACTAAATGATTGATTAAATTCCAAACTAAATTATTCATGAATCGAGCTATGGTGGACAATCGGTGATTTATCTATCTGATTCATAGGAAAGGCAATGTACTTGTCTTGAGTTTGTAAGCTTTAATTCATGTAGCGATAGTTTGAAGAGGATCGACGAGACGGACTTCTAGCTCAATTGGTTAGTAGAGCACGGAACGCTGTGAATGCCGGTTCTAGTCCTGCCCGAGTCGTAAACTTTTTCTATTTCTAGTCGATTTTTAATTTATATTGTGCCATCGTGTGCAAAATATTCAAATTGCATAATGATTATTTTTTTATGATTTTAATGACAGCTGGATTGCAATAACAGTTTTTTTCCGGTTACTGTAGCTAAAAGGTGATAACGGTACCGTACATGTGTCTGTCTGTCAGACTCTACCTCGAGAATTGTGATAGTGCGATGAAATATTCCATGTCTTTCTTTTAAAAAAAAACACTTCTGACGATTTTAACGGAGACGGCTGGTACAGAGCATTTCAAACGTCGCGTCGAACTCTCCAAAAAATCTAAATAAGTTAACTAATAAATTTCGCGTTTTAAACCGTTGAGAGTTTTTTATTTAATTATGTACTACTAGCGTGAACTACAGACGACACTTACGTCTGCATCTGTTCCGAACAATACAACGATTACTAAACAAAGAATATTACAATTTGAAAACTTTAATTTTTTTTACATGTTGCACCAGATGGCAATATAAATTAAAAATCGATTATAAATTGAAAAAAATTACGACTCGGGCAGGACTTGAACCGACATCCACAGCGTTCCTTGCTGTTGCTATAACCAATTGAGCTACCGGGTCCTACACGCCATCTTCGATTTTTTTTAACCTATTGTTAGATGCAGAGAATATTAAAACACAACAATTTTTTTGCTAAATTGCGCAATAAATATTATTTGCAATTCTTACTCAATTAAAACAGTCGTAAACAGTTCACGATATCCTTATCTTAATGACACTTGGTTTTTTCACAAAATGAACACAGCTGTACAATCTGGGACTTTTGTTTGTAAGATTTTTTTTAAATTTTCTTGCCCTCTTCATCAGCATTCAGTGACATTTGAAAGATATTAAATTTCGTTACAATTTCCATTTTGACAAACTCTTGTATAATATGGCTTTGTAATATTTATTTTATATCTTATTAAAAGGCGTTTAATTCTTATTCAAATGGCTCGGGGTAGAATATTTTAAAGTTAAAAACAAATGAATGGCTAACACTAGTTTTTCGCTAAGTAAACTGTGCTTTGATAATTTTTTTTAACATTTTGCTGAGTCCCTACTGATAGGATTCAGGTTTTCAATTATGTAAGAGAGGTAACACAGGACGTAGATTTTTTCTAAAAATGCTGATTATCTTGCTTGAATAATATACAAAGAAAATTTTCACCGGAGAGCATATATGCGGAAATAAATCGATAATATTTCAATAAATCACTTTTGACGGCTTAAAACGAGAAATGCAATACATTTAACTTGTCTATAAATTATAGCTATATATTTCAGCTAAGGCCCGACGTTTGAAATGCTTTGCAGCAGCCGTGTTCAAGTTGTAAATAAGTAAACTAATACATTTCGCGTTACAAACCGTTAAAAGTGTTGTATTAAAATGTGTACTCGCGTAAATACAGACAATACTGGATCGATATAATTAAATTAAACTATTCGAATTTGGAATCACTGACAAGTTGTTACGTAATCTCATACGTAATTACATTGTAAAGCTCTTAGACTATCTTTAGTCTGCTTATCAAAGTGTATTTGGTACATTGTAAAACCCATTTGTGTCCTCGTCACGAGATATTGCGTGGTGGAATTATTTCATAACAAAGACCATTCAAACCTTCGAGGATAGACCTTCTAATTTGATATCAAGAAATGTATTAGAGAACTATCTTGAAAAGAAATTCTTTCTGTAGAAATGGTATTCTCGCTCGAACTCTAATATTCTTGTATCTAATATCTTTAAGCAACTGTCTGTAGTTCAGTTTAACTTCTGCTATAAAAAATTTGACGGGCTCGGTGTTATGGTAGCAATCTATAGCTAATAATCGACGGGTTCGATTCCTAACATTGTTCGACAAGTTTCAAAACTCTGTTCGGGTCAGAAACCTTCGCCCACAGATGAAAAAGCTGTGAAGTTTCGTGGCTTTTAGGTTTCAGTCTGTGGATTTCCGAATTCTCAAAAACTGAAATAGGTCGGTAGCGCATCTTGTTAGATGTTATGTAACAGGGCTATTTCACCTACCATAAAGTGAACCCCGAGCTTGTCTGTCGTTCTTTGTGATCAAAAAATGTCTGCTATTAATAATTGACAGATGGATTTTTGTTGAAAGTTCACTCAACCGAAAATGTGCGCAAATTTCAAAATACTCTAACGCAAATTGCGTGGTATAATGATTCCTCTTTGAATGATCTAAACGTCCGCGTAGCTATATGTCTATCTTTTAAGATAAACTAGAAAGAGCGACGAGAAGGGACGCGACAGACGTCGTGAGTAACAGCTTAATTTTATAAAGATGATGGCGTTTGCAAAAACGAATTTGGATGCCCAAAATAACGATTCTCGCGAACAAAGTCGCTGGCACAGCTAGTTTAACTATAAAATGTTAGAATCTTCTTTTTTAAATGATATTTCATTTACTATTAACAGAACTATTGTTGAATGGAATTCCTAAAGGGGTTGTAAAGGGACATTTGGCCAACATATAAACAATGACTGTTTGTTCATCTGTCCCGAGTAAATAGTGCTTTAGAAGAGCACCCCAAATGAAGTGAAACCACACTCAACTAGTTCCTAATAGGCTCCTTATGAGAACGGAACACGTGAACATTAACGCAATTATTTCCACCCTTTTAACGTTTTCCGACGCGTTTAAGTGAGGTAGGCCCTTACGGGCGGATTTGAAGTAACGAAAATTGGATCCTGTCTGTAGTTTACACATGTAAATAAAACACTTTAACGGTTTAAAACGCGATGTAGTAGATATTGGTTAAGCTTATTTGAAAAATAAACCGGCGCGTACCGTGCCGTCGTCAATTTTTTTAAAGCAAGCACATTCACCTCTCGCGCAAATTAATTTAAAATAATGAATGTAGTTTTTTTACAGTTTAAATTAAAAATTTGCTTTTCTTATTGTCAAGTATATCCTAATCGAATTTAAACCGTTGCGTTTTCGCGATATATAAGATATTGTTAACGGATTTAAACGCGTAAGATTTTATATTTATTCTTCACTAGCTGTGCCCGCGACTTCGTCCACGTGGAATAGTGACGTTGGATAGATTTTTTTTATTATTTACGCTGTTTATTTATTTATTTTAGAAATTTAATAAGACACATTTATTATATTAGTTAGTTCTATAAAAACTAATCATACATACATAATACATCTACACAACTTTTCATCCCTCATTCAACCCCTGACTACTTTTTTTCGTACAGCAAAAGTTTTACAATGCATGTCATCGAAAAGGGTGCATTTAGATGTGTTGTAAGTGCTTCTTTGACGCAACACTCCCACTCTCACCTCACATGACTCATACTCTAACTCCCACTCTCACTCCTACACTCACTCCCACTCTCACTCCCATTCCCAAGAAGCCAAAGAAGAAAGTTTCATTGTTCCAACTTCAAAAATCTAATTTCTATGCAAACTTTCATCCCCCTTTTCTGCCCCTAACAACCCTTTTTTGGCAACCTCTTTTGGCCCTTTTAAAAAGTAGTCTATGTCCTTTCTAAGGCTCTAGTATATGTGTGTATTTCATTTAAATCGGTTCAGTATTAGCGGCGTTAAAGCCGGACAGACAGACAGAGTTACTTTCGCATTAATAATATTATATTAGTATAGATTACGAAATGTCATTTCGGAATGTGACCAAGATCACTGTTATAAGTACCATATATACTACTAGTACTAATATATAAAGCTGAAGAGTTTGTTTGTTTAAACGCGCTAATCTCAGGAACTACTGGTTCGAATTGAAATTTTGTGTTGGTTAAGCAATTATCAAGTAATGCAATAGGCTATACATCACCAAATATTCTTCTGGTTCGATCAAAAAAACGTCCTCGACAATATATATCTTTAAGATTATCTCGCAATCACGAGGGAACGCGGAAGACGTCGTGGGTAGCACGTATAGTTTGTTTAACTCTATAAATTGAAGAAGGTTTGCAAAAACAAATTTTTATGCTCTAAATGACTGATCTATGCGGACGAAATCGCTGTTACAACTAGAATTTAAAATTTCGCTTTTAAAACCGATAAAAATGTTTTAGATAATGTCGTCACTTCGATAGAATGGAGGTAAAGATGCACTAGAATTTCAAACGATGATAGAGAAGAAAAATAGCGGGTTCAGGTAAAAATAAATGACCAAGACGATACAAATATACGGCATCACTCATCGAAATTCCGTCCGAACTCCGTTTGCCGAGGTTTGGAATACGTGAACAAAGTGTATTATGGTACTTTATCTTTCATATCTTTCATATGTTCTGAAGAAGCCTTTTCAAATATCAGCCTACATAGTTCCAAACATGGCGTTGTATTAATATAATTGTTAGTGTAGTTAGTAATGGTAGCCATGTTATTGCTAATGATCAACGAGTCGGTGGCGCGATCACTACCAGGTCCATCATGTTTCAAAGTTTCCAATTTATTTTTCTAAAACATTCTGGACATCGTCTGGAAATCTGGATATAATATAATAAAAAATAAATGGGTGGTAGGAATATCTGAATTCCGTTCGGACACGAACCACCGCCCACAGACGATAAAGCCGTAAGGATTAATCTTGTTTTTGTTTCAATCTGTACGAAAGCCAAAATAGGTCGACCGCGCATTTTCTCTATCATACATAGAACTTCCATTTATTGCGTTTTATTAAAATTTCAATCTACTTTTGAATGATTTATTTGCTTAAATAGAGGCATATGTGCTTTGGATTCATGTTTGGATTGAACCAACCGAACAGTTACGATTTATTGCCGGGTTAATCTGGTGCGCGACAAATCCGACGTACGTCTAAAAATCTGACAAGCTGCTCTCAAAACGACCGGAGTTAATAGCTTCCACAGAAACGAATTTGATTTGATATTTTCGAAATTGCATTGACCTAGAACAGAATAAAATTTAGAAACTACATTTACAATTAAACCCTAATCTTACAAACAATATCAATAAGTGAATAATTTTTTTAATTAAATATGAGAATATTAGCCTTTGAACAGGAAGCCACTCAGCTACCTTGGGACTGAGATCCCAACATTGATATTCTGTGGCCCTTCAGAGGCCGAGCTAACGCAAGCGAGGTTGTTTGACATTTTGTCTATTAAACTTACTATCACCAGTAGTATCAAAAAAATGTGAGGAAATGTTAAAAGAAGCTTAAATTTTAACAGGTTTGTAACTAACGAAAACAGTGTTGTAAATAATAATGCTGTACGGTTTCTACAGTAGTTATCGAAAATAGGATAAAAAAGGTACTTTTACATAAAAATATACATTTTAGAATATATCAGTACGTAAGTACGTAAATTCCTGAGTTAATGCTCAAATGTATAACTTGTAAATAATATCAAAGAAACTTTGTTTTTTTTTCTTTCCGATCGTAATCCAGTGGTATCCAAAACATTTGTGGTATCTTGTCGTAAAGACATATCCTATAAGAATTTAATTAAGACTGTTTCTAATAATTAGGTACTACCTATTTAGGTGTAGCATTCCTATGTACGGTGTATGGTGTATGTTACACGCTGTCATATAGCTATAAAGAGATTCAAATTCACCAAGATAACAAGGTAATACCATAATCCTAGAACGACCTGGAAACAGCAATTACTGGGAAATCTCTTTCAAAAGCTTCCCTAGCTATCACCTCGCCAAATGATCATAACGTGAAGAGATTCGCATAATGAGAGTCACTGGGATAAATCGATTTCGCTTTTCGCCATTTCACTGGTGATTTAAACGTTACGCTTTTGTTAAACCTTTTGGACGGGATTCGAACCCACGACAGAGGATCCAGCGTACCCTTAATATAAAGTGAGTTCTAAGTAAAGCTCAAATCTATATAATTAAAAATGAATTATTGTTCGTTAGTCTTGAGAGCGGCTAAACGGATTTATCTCATCTTGGTGTTGAAATGGTCATGGAGGTTTAGGAAAGGTTTAATAGGGGAAGAATACGAAGGAAATTGTTTTTTGTGTTAGTCTTAGAGGGTTTCCGTTGCACTGCGACGAAAGTTTGACATACCCGAAAAAAATATGTGACATTATACGTTTTACGATTAACTCACAAGAACCCTTTTATGGTAATCAAATTTCTCGAAATACTTCTTATGGCAAAATTATGTTTTCTAGGTCAGCTGTTATTAATAATATAGTCATTTTCCTGTGAGGATTATAAATATTTACCTATTTTCAATCAGATGTGGTGGGCTGTATGTTGCGTGGTGGTAGCGGTTGGCACCATGTGTGCGGAAGCAGCACCGGCATCCAGTGAAATATCACACGCCATCGATTGGACTCAGTTGGAACCGGCTCCAGACGACGTAAGTTCTTCTTTAGTCCACTCTTAGTATCATCATATAACGGTAATAAAAACCTATATCTACTGTATTTATGAGAAATTCTATTATAATTGTAGAGCTGTTGGTTGGTAGTTGGTAAAACATCGCGATTACAACATTTCATCAAAAGAAAAATAAAACATACACAGATCAGTTTTTAAAAGTACGTAATAAACGTTTAAATGAAGAAATTAAACTTTAAGCGTACTTTTTAACGGGTTATACGCGAAATATATTAGTTACTTTACTACGGCCCGATGTTTAGACTGTTTTGCAGCAGCCGTAGTTAAGGGGATGCCGCTGTTGCAAAGTGTAAATGCATTAACTAAAATATTTCGAGTTTAAAACTTATGACGGTTAAAAAATAACAAATCAAAATACATTATACAAACAAAGAGAGACAAAATATATTATTTAACGGATTTACACTTTACAACAGTAACACACGTAATCATGGCTGATGTAGATACAAGGTCTTTTATAGATATAATTTACGCGTACAGTTCACTGTTTTATCTGAAAATACAATTCTGGTATTCCGTTAACAAATAAAGCCGTATTGCCTCACGTTCGAGATTCACGATCCTGACTTCTCATTTTTCAGATTCATGTTACGTTGACACAAATGTCTTATATTCCTTATAATTCAGATCTCACCTCAGACAAGAGCGGTCTCTATCAAATATTCCCTAATGCGTTTTAACTATTCTGTTTAATATTTATACCAACAACTTATAGACCTTCTCAATATATTCAAAGTTTATCTTTGTCACTGTTTTCGGAGATTTATGGCTACTGACAAATAGTTACAAAAGTTTTAATAAAGCACTTGCAACAGTTAAACGCGCCATGTATTTAATAACTACTATTACCTGTATAACGGTGCCCCCCATTCCCTACGTGACCATGGCTGCTAAAAATCATCCGAAACGTTGGGCTGTTGTTAAATAAGTTAATACATTTTGCGTTTTAAACCTTCATAGTGTATTATTTAAATATGTACTCGCGTAAAATACAGACAAGACTTAAATTTAATTCGTGTCAAATTAATCTGTACAGGAAGTTGTCGAGTACGCTTCTCCAGGCCGTTACCCATCCGCGCCGTGGCTCTACCTTCTCGCCGAAGTGCCCCACGAGACGCAGGTAATTCTATTATTTCCAAATCCAGTTTCACTCGTTAAATATTTTATTTCCCCAACTTTACGCGTTCCATTATTGCTCGGCCGTTAAAGACATAACTAAGATTGAGATAAAAGATTTTCGATTCTATTGTTTTAAAAGTTTAATTCAATCGGCGGACTTCCTAATGTAATGATAGCAATGGCTAATAATCAACGGGTTCGATTCCCACCCGCTTCAACAAGTTTCTCATCAATTTACAATCTAAACCATGTTGGATTTCGTCAGGAATGAAATTAAATGAGGGTAGGAATACCGGTAATTCGTTACGAACCACCGGCCACAGATGAAAAAGTCAGTTTCAGTCTCTGGAGCTCCGAATATAAAGCCAAAATAAGTCGACTGCGTCTCTTGTTGAGATGTTGTATGGCTGGGGTATTATATAAGTGAATATGCTTCTCAGGAAATGACATAATGGTTTTAATTTTGAATTCATCAAGTGATGAATTCCGTTTGAACATAAAAACGCTTTTGGAATTATTGAAAATTATGCTACACTTTACAACTTTTCATATTTATTAAAGTGAAATTGGGACGTTGTCTATACATACATATATTACTACTTACTAGTAATATATGTATATATATATATAATGTTTCGCATTCTATCAATTGAACTCCGTGTTTGTCTGTCCTCAAAATCGCGCAAAGATTAAAGATTACTTAAGTCCAACTGGAGACTTAAGTTGAAATATTTAACGACATTGAGAAGGACGAGGGCCTTTTTATAATTAGTAATTACCTTGACAAATTATACAGCAAACACTCATTGTTACCTTTGTTCGTTACCGGCTCCGAATTTTGTGTTCATTTGTTTGTTGATTAAATATTAACTTAATTATTCAAAACTCGAGAATTAATTGCATCGCGAGTTATTTATAAGCGTCGTTTGGAAGATATACGTTTTAGTGTACAAAAAACATTTGTCTCCAACAATTGTACAAACAAATCTGAAATGTGACTGAAGTGTTTTATGTACCATCAAGTGAATACTTGCCACCCTCCTATCATAAAAAAAAATTAATATGTGCGCTGTCTAATAGACGAACAGCAAGTATTTGCTGAAAATCAGTGTTATTAGAGTAACTGTGCTGTAACTTATGCCGCAAGATCATTTTCTAGTTCAACTTAATCTCTCAAACTCCGTATTAGTTAAACTTATTTGAAAACTATTTTAACTACGGCCCCACGTTGCGGATGCTTTGTAGTTACGATCATTTCCAAATAAGTTTAGCTACTATGTATCGTGTTTTAAACCGTTAATATGTTTTATTTAAATGTGCTCTAATGCCTTATAGACTAAGCGCTAATCTAAGCACACTTAGGGACATCACTGGTTAAAAATAAAAGATACAGATCATATATAGATATTATACATAAGTATAATTATTTATTGAAGTATTTTGGGTACCAATTAAATGAACTATCATGTAAGGGAGGTTTAAGGTGTGTGTGTGTAATAAGACGGTGTATAAAGGTACCGGTAAGGTCGCGTCGTGCGATGACTGTGTCCGTCAACCCGGCGGTGGAATTGCTGCAGCGAGAAGCGTACAATAGCTTTATGGACAGGCAGGTGCACGCGAACCGGGATTTCTTGAACTGCATCGGCAAGAGAGGTTAGATGTGACGTTTATCAAAATTGCTGTATTTGAATAAAACACTTTAACGATTCTAAACGCGATATATATTAGTTTAACTTATTTGGAAACTAGTTACTACGGCCAGACGTTTCGGACGCTTTGCAGCAGCCGTGGCCACGTGGTGCACACCTTAAAGTGTTTTATGACATTGCTGTTTTTTTTGCGTTTTCATGTTCTCTTGAGTTCTCAATTAAGGAATCGTCCAGGATTAAATAGTTAGTTGCTTTTTATACTTTATCGCATTAAAACACCATTTTTAACGGTTTAAAACACGAAATATATCTTTTTTGAATGATAAATTTATTTTAACCACTGCGAGATGTGACTACGAGAAGCAGCGATGGCGGGCCGTAGTTAAAATAAAATGTAAACAAATTAACAAATATATATCGCGTTTTAAACCGTTAAAAATGGTTTAATTAAAAGATATTTCGTTTATTACATGTAACGCTTGATTAAAATTAATTTCATTCCTCTCCTCGTTTATTATTTCCGACAAGTGTTTTCTTTCCATTGGACTCAGCTCTTGACGAGATCAGTTTGAGTTAAGTGCGCAATTTAAATGATTTTTTTGCAGATCCCTGGAGCAACCCCGACTGCAAGATGAAGGCCTAAATTCTCCAATTAAGACGTTATTACATTGCCGTCCACCCACAAAAAAAGATTGTCGATTTTAAAATTAAGACAATTTTTATATGAAGCTAAAAGACTATGTAAATAATATTTGTTTTACATTATATATTCTTAAATCGATAAGTATTAAATAAAATTCATTGACATATTTTTGGGTATTTTTTTCATCGCCTAACATCATAAATTTTAATAATTAAACTTAGTTTTTGAACTAATGCTTTTAAATACGTAGGTGTAGTGTAATGACGTTAATATTCATAACATGATAGCTTAACATCGATTAAACATCTATTTTGAATTAAAACAACCCGGACGGGATTCAAACCCACGAACTTAGTGTGGTCATAGCTTTAACACGCAGCTAACGTGGTATGGATGTCTAAAAGCTAAAATTTTTTTCGCGATTTTAGATTTAAATATGTTTAAGACGCAGGCAGGACTTGTACCGGTATCCACAGCATTCGGTGCTGTTGCTCAAACCAATTGAGCTACCGTGTCCTACAAGTCATCGTCGATTTTTTTTTCAACCTATTGATACATGCACCTCTCGCGCAATGTAGTTTGAACCTTACCCCTTCCGTATTATAATGCCATCATGTGCAATAACATGTGAAAAATATTAAAGTTTCCAAAAGCGTAGGTAAAACTACCTCCACATTTTCCATCCAAATACCTTATGTGAACTTGCGTCAATCGTCGCGACGCACAACAAACATCGTACCGACGTGAACCAATTGTTGTTTGATCAGCTCTGTAGACATATAAGAATTACGTTTGCGAATCTAATGAGTGTGATTCTGGGGCGAAGGACGAGATCGGGCGTGTCAAGCGACGCATGCCATCACTGTCCATCGACCTGCCGATGTCTGTTCTACGACAGAAACTGAGCCTGGAAAAAGAGAGGAAGTTCCAAGCGCTACGAGCCGCTGCTAACAGGGACTATCTTAACGACATCGGAAAGCGAGGTATACTGTTTTTAAAGTAGAATATCCTTACGTAAATAAAACAATATTAACGATTTAAAAAGAAATGTATATAAGTCGCAATTTATTTAGATTGGATAAATTTTCACGACTGGGGCTGAAATTGAACCGGTATCCAGAGTCTTGACTTCGTCTTAGTAATTTCAATAAAGAAATAGATAAATAACTTGTGATTTTTTTACAATTGTCTACCAAACCATAGCAGTTTTAGCTGGGCACGTCAAATCGTTTTAACCGGCTTTAAATAGAATAGGTACATCTGTGATAAAGACAAAGAAATGTTGTTTACCAAATAAAAGAGAAAGACTTTTTTTGCGAACTGTTAATATTAAGTTTTGGAGAAGTAGAATTTAAATCATTTATGCTAATAATTTTTTAGTGATTATTCAAGTAACATCTAGATTTTTAATTATTGGGTTATGTTGGATATACACTATATGTATTAATATGTATTCATTTTACAGGTATCTCGTGGAGCCAGGCATACGACACGGAAAAGTATTAGAAAATCCTTCTAGATTACTGAAAACTAAGCTTATAAATTATATCTGTATCTCAATACATACTCAGTTAACATAAAATATATATGTATGTTCTGCAAAATTGTTGAATATATAAGTTTTTAACGCTAATATTAGTTATAGATACAACAAAGTGTAACAAATTCAACGTATTAAATTCGGACAAAAAAGGGAATATACATAATTTTTAATCCGTTAATTTGATTGGTTTTGCGTTGGCATAAAAATTCAACTTGTAATATGATAAACAAAACATAAGCTGTTTGTTATTATGCATATTTGTATATTCTTATGAAGCGGTAGGTCTCTACTAAGATGACAATTAATTATTTCATAGTTAAATTATGTCTTCGTTACTTATAGGTTGTCTCGTAGAAATAGTATTAATATAGCATAGATGTGACATTGTTTTAGATGTTAATTCGTAGAAACATAATCATTGCCTTTATATAAGTTATGAATAAGTTGACAATTTAAAATATAATTACTGCTGAGAAGATATTTGGTTTTAATTTAAATATTCCCTTCATTTTAACTTACAAGTCGTGAAAACTAATAAAATAAGACATATTTTTTAATTAAAAATAATTACAGAGTAAGAGTTACTTTTTTTAAATTTAGTTTTAATTTTTTAACATATTTTTCATAAAAGATACCTCAAATAAATTCATAAACACAACGAACTTTTTAATCCCTGCATATGCAATAATAAGGTTTAAATACAGTCCAATTGATTAAACACAAAAGAATAGTTACAATCGTTATAGTAAAATAAAAAAAAATTAAAGATAAAAATTACATTGCGCGAGAGGTGTATGTATCAAGAGGTTGGAAAGATTATATGATGACGTGTAGCACACGGTAGCTCAATTAGTTAACGCAATGGCACGGAACACTGTGGATGACGGTTATAGTCCCGCCCGTGACATAAAATTTTTCAATCTAAAATTGGTTTATAATTTTAAATAAAAACTAAAACGAATATCAGGATATTAATTCCACGAGTTTTTTTAATAGCTATATTCTATGCGCGAGAGGTGCATGTATCAGTAGGTTGGAAAAAATTCGCCGATGACGAGTAGGACACGGTAGCTCAATTGGTTAGCGCTACGCACGGGACGGTACGGATCTCGTTCGTATCGTGAAATGTTTCAATCTAAAATCGAATAATAATTTATCTTCTACCAGCGACCCGCCCCGGTTTCGCTTGGGTGCAATGCTGATACTAAATACACTACAAAAAAACTGTGAACATTGTGTATAAAACCTTTCTCTTGAATCACTCTATCTATTAAAAACCGCATCAAAATCCGTTGCGTAGTTTTAAAGATATAAGGGCACATAGGGACAGAAAAAGCAACTTTGTTTTATACTAAGTAGTGATTATTGCCGGCACCCTAAAACGATTCACACGTCGGCCCCTTGTAATTAGCCACATTCAATTCTTTGTTTATGCAGAGGCTGCCGGTCCGCGATTCGAGAGTACGTCCGAAACGGAAAATGCCCTCTCTCTCAATCAACAACCCGATGGAGGTTCTGCGGCAGAGGCTGTTGTTGGAAGTCGCTCGCAAGCAGATGCGCGAAGCAAGCCAAAGACAAGCGGTGGCCAACCGTGTCTTCCTACAAAACGTTGGCAAACGAGGTAAATTATTCTACCGATACTAATAAATAAAACTGAAGAGTTTGTTTGTTTGAACGCGCTAATCTCAGGAACTACTGGTTCAACTCCTCTTTAAGTAATCTAAAAGAATGTCCGCGACTCTATCTTCTATCTTTTAAGAACTTTCAAGAAAATAAACGAACGCGACCGACGTCGTAGGTGTCAGGTTAAATTTAAACAGTTGAACTGGAGTTTAAGGTTAAGGTTAACCATCGTACGCGGATGAAGTCAAAGACAAAGCTAGTTTATTCTATTTCATTCATTATAGTGTGTTTGACCTAGCCGAGACTTGAACCATCTAGCTGTACCAACTAAAAATTCCACTTGGGTCCACCACAGGACGTGTTTAAATAAAACACTTTTAACAGGTTTAATTATTTTGTATTTAATTAATAAAAACGAAATTGTAAAACATTTATAAACAGATACAATATGTAAATTTATACAAAGATAGAATTAAAAAAACTTAATTAAAAAAGTAACGCTTAAAGTAAACAATTTAAACGCGAATTATATTAGGCATATTATTTATAGTTCATTTAAACTACGGCTCGGCGTTACAATAGTAAATACAAGTAAATAAACTAGACCGCGTTTTAAACTGTTAATAGTGTTTTATTTAAAAGAGTTCTCCTTGAAACTTCAGTAGTTAATGGTCTATGCGTTTATTGTTAGTCTTCGATGGCGATAAACTTGTGTTATAAAGCTGATGAGTTTCTTTGAATTCGCTAATCTCAGGAACTATTAGTTCGAACTCATAAATCATTTATCGAGAAAAACTGTACGCTATAAAGCATAACCCTGTGACCAAAATGGGCGAAAAATCAATGGAAAATGTGGAAAAAAAACGGGGATGGCTTTCGTTGCGTGCGCTGCGAAGATGGTTCAAGAAACCCAAACAATATGTGTGAAAGAGCGATTCTTTTAAATGATCTCAAAAAATATTGACGATAAACGAAGATAGTCATGAATATCAGATATACAGTAGTATATCTTATAAGAATCGTATCTGAGTATCTCTACATTTAAACTTGCAAGAACGACGGGACGTGACCAACGTCGCGGGCAACAGCTATAACTTATAAAGATGAGCAGGTTTTTAAAACCCCAAATATTGCCCAAAAAAACTATCCAGCGCGAACAAAGTCGCGGTCACAGCTAGTGGTTATACAGTGGTAGTGGTAGTGGTTGTATATAGTTTACCGATTAGTTAATCAACCTCAAAGGTGCCATTCAAAGATTCAAATCAATGTGATCGGATTAGACCTGTCTAAGGCAGCTGTATATTGCAAAGTGGAAAATTAGTATTTAATCAAGGCCGCTTTCTCGTGTTGGTAGAGTAAAATCTTAAATATTAAAGTTGTGCATTTTTAGATAATAATTTTTCACGAATTAATTTCTCAGTAATAGAATATATTATCATTTATTTATTTATATTTAAGAGCATTTAACAAAGCACAGCAATTATTATTATAGTAAAATACAAGGAAAAAATTTAATAATAATAATAATAGACAATTGTATCACAAAAATCATCAAATAATAGTTTCACATTTAATCGTACAAAGTATTTTATATTCAACAATGGTTTGTAACATGTCTAGATTCTTGTTACTATGCAGTAAAATACTATCACATACTGTGTCAGCGACTTCGTCCGCGTAGATTAGTTATTTTGGGCGTCCAAATTTTGTTTTGCAAACCTCTACATCTTTAAAACTTAAGCTGGTGCCCACGACTTCGGTGGCGTCCCGACTCTCACGATCCGTCGTTCATGTCCCGTCGTTCTTGCAAGATAATGTTAAAAGATAAACATATAACACTACCCCCCGGCCTTTTTTAGAACATTTAAAGAGAAATCATTCTTTTCTGCATATTTTTATGAGTTACTTGAACCGTTTTTGCAGCGTACGCCACGTAATTGTTGTCACATTTCTCGCCGTATCTTCGCCCCTATTAGTCACAGTGTGATGTTTTATAGTCTATATTTCTCGATAAATGCTCTAACCAACACAAAAATAAATTTTCAATTCGAACCCGTGGTTCCTGAGATTAGCGCGTTGAAACAAACAAACTCTACAGCTTTATATATTAGTATAGATTATATAAGATTTATTAAAAAAGCATTAATTCTCATACTCCACAGATACAAATATCATAAATAATATAAATCTAGCAACCAAACATAGACAATAAAAAAGCGTAAAGCAAACCGGCCATTTCACAGGACACATAACATACACAGATAATAACATTATTGTTCATATTGCTTGTGTCGCAGGTCTCTGGGCAAACACGATGTCAGCGAGCTACGGTAACTAAGAGATTCTATTATCTCCAACTTTTCCTCATGTCTCCAGCTCCACGGTTTCAACAGTTCGTTAAGTAAACAGCGGTTATTTCTTTACGTCAATATTCTACTGTTATAAAATTGTTTACATTTGTTGCGTTTGGCTCAAGCTTAACACAAGTGGCCGTTCTTCCATATTTTATAACTTTAAAAAACTAAGCATAGCACTTAAAAACGAACGTATTTTGGTGATAAGTACGATTAAGCTGCGTATTCAATAATAAAATAATTAGAAATCCTCTTTGTTTCAACTTCAGCAAGAATATTGTAAAATGTTTTATTGCAAAATTACACAAAACTTTTCCTTACTGTCGATGTGTCTATCTGTTATTTATTATCTACGATGTGAAATGTTATCCAGCTCAACGCTCTCATCAATGATAATGTAATAACATTTCTATAAATCGATTTGCTACCCACAAAATCTGCCTAGACTTATATGTGCCAAAGAATGTCTATATCGCTTAGTGAATTTTATTTTCTTGTTAAGATATTCGTTGGATATTGATTTTCGGGATGTATAGATAAACTTGTATGGCTGGTTAATGTTTTTCCAGTCCAGCGAATTTAACGTTTAATCACTGGAATTAAGAATACATTGGAACAATAACACCACAGAATAAAAACTGGATTCATGATCTATTTTTCTAGATGAGCCATACCAATGATACTAGAATAATAGTGGCTAATCCAGTGCTTTGTTTCTTTGTCTTGATGCTAGTTCGGCGTTTTCAGTTCAGCGCTAGTGTGTTACTGGTCTGGAATTATGTCAACTGGACTTAGATTAGGCAGTACATATATTTTTTACTCCGACTACGACCTCTCTCTATAGCTTATTATTAGAGTAGAAAAATGTAAATTACGTTCAATAAAAGGATACATTGTTGCCCTTGTTTTAATTCTAACCTGAAGAGAAGACGTCGAAGTCACAAAAAGTAACGAGTATGTCAGTCCTTTTAACATAGGGGAGGATAGGCAAACATCACTTGATGCAAGGGGAATTATATCAACCATATAATGAGCTGTTATCAGGTGGTTCGTGACCCGGACGGAATTTTCGATGTTCTTACCATCTATTTAGTATAATTTAAAAATCGAAAATAAATGGAAAAATTTTCGACTCGGGCAGAACATGAACCGGCATCGTCAGCGTTCCGTGCTGTTGCTCTACGAAATGAGCTACCGAGTCAGTGGTAGAGCAACAGCACGGAACGCTGACGATGCCGGTTCATGTCCTGCCCGAGTCGAAATTTTTTTCAATTTATTTCGATTTTTAAATTATATAGAGCCTTCATGTGCAACATCATGTAAAAAATAATGTATGCAAAATCTAAGACAAAGTCGAACTTATTTCAAATAAAATATAAATTGACATTCTAGACTCAGTGGGACATACATGGATGAAAGATATATAATGGAACATACAAAATATTGATTATAAGGCTTACATTGCCTATAATCCATTGATTAGACCAACGTTCCCGTCGTAATATGTAGGTATGTGATTCCGCTCTAACAGCTAAAATACTGAGGCTATTTGAATGAAATGAAAAGCTATTTGTCATAACGTCGAGTCAAAGACATACCTTTACTAGACATGAATTTGTCGCAATTTTGACTTAAAAATTTTAAACGAAAAAATAGCCGCCAACAACATTCCTCAGTATCAAAGGAAAGATCTTGGTCTTTACAAATCAAAGAGATAAATGATAGACTAACTCTTAAGTGTCATTAATTAATTTTGTAATATTATATTTAATTGAATCGACTTAAGATTTTACGACACGGCCAGAACTTGAACCGGCATCCACACGATCCGTGCTATTGCTCTAACCAAGCCGGATGCCTGTCGTAATTTTTTTTTCATTCTAGAATTAAATTTTTATCTAATGTCACCATAAAGTTTTCACATATTTATTATATTTGTATTTTTTTTTGCAATAAAGTTATTTAATATTCTTATAATCATTCCTACAGTGTTCATTTTAATTTCAATAAAAAAAAAAATTTTATAAATACCTATAGATATATTTATAACGAACTGGCTGTTTATAAAAAACAAACAGGTAGCAGTAGTTATAAAGCACTCAGGTTATAAACTTCGCTACTTGTAACTCGTTGGTTAATTTAGAGAAAAGTCGAAACTCCAATTTTAAGAGTCGACAACTGTTACGCGTCTAAAGCTCTCTGGCGCTCATCGATTTCGGTCCACTTAAGCTAGAGTGGACCTGACCACTTAAAACGACCTGAAAATTGATTTTCAGTAATTTGCCGTAACAAATCTAATCATACTTGTTGTGGAATACTATCGAATGCAATATTTATTTCTCTATTAAAACTAACTGTTATTAGTTAATTGTAAAGAAACAAAAATATAATTATTGAGTTTAAAGTCCTATTCCTTTCGGTCTGTGGTTCTGACATAATAATCGGCCCGATGTTTTGGATGCTTTACAGCAGTCGTGGTCACGGGGAGACTAAAGATGGAGGGTGTCCTAAAGGAAAACTGCTACGCTAGCGCCATCAGTTTCGTAGTTGATATTTGGTAACGTTTCGTAATTAAATTAAATAAAATATAAGTTAACTGCTACATTTAGCGTTTAAAACGGTTCAAGCTGTTTTATTGGAATGTTCTTTCGTACACAATAAGTAATTACCAACAATATATAATTTTTATTATATAACTTGATATTGGAATGTCTTAGTATAAAATATGGACTTCTAAGTTTCTAACAAAATCCTTGTCAAGCAATGTGTAAAGTGAAAACTTGCTATTATTTAATATAAAAAAAAGAAAATACACGCTTCAAGCGGAAATGCAGTTGCATTTTATAATAATTACTGTAAAATGACAGGATCGAGTTTCTTGTCAGTTCTTCTCGTTTGTTCTTCATAATTTAATTATTTTTAACTTTGTATTCTATTCGTGGTTAAAGTAACTTATATAAATAATTTCTGATATAATACTATTAGTATATTTACTAAGATCAAGGTTTTCAAGTGTGTAATGCTTGTAAAAAAATGCAGCAGCAGTCGTGAAAGCAAAACATCATCAAACGTCGGGTCGTAGTTAACTGTAAGTTAACATATATATTTTTGGTTTTAATTCGTTAAGTATCCTATTGAAGAATATATATATAGGGAACATACAATCTTAAAATTGATTATTAAGATTAAAATTTGCCAAAACTGCTAAATGTGTCTTATTTAAAATCCGGATTTTCAGACGGACTTGACGGATCGGACGGATCGAACCCAAATTAAACCAAATAAATCGAACTCAAATTACCACCAACGAGACCGACAAATGATTAGCAAGAAGGATGATTGTAAAATTGTCTCATTGTTTCTATTGAGTAGCTTAAGTGTTCCAAATTACATCATAGATATGCTAATTGAATTTAAACTAAACAATTTTCATATAAATATATGTTATGTTTGTACATCACATGAAACTTCTGACACTAACTTCGCTTGATTTGATAAATAGGAATTACACAAACAATGTGCCGGCTTTACAATGTACGTGAATACATTTTGTATAGTTACGTAGTTCCCAACAGTTGTGACTAGAATACAAAGTCTATATCTCACTTGTATTATCATAATGCAAAAAACATAACGCACGTGTGCATTTTAAGGCTTCGGCGGTAAAAAATTTTTTATCGTAAATTTAAATCGGTAGCAATATCGAAATAACGAGTACTTCCGAATCACGAGCGATTGTTGTCAGATAATAAAAATCGATAAAAACTTTTAAAAACTTAAAGCGGTTTTATTTTTTGTGCACTTAAAACTACGAAAAAAATTGAAATTTTGACATAATCATTGTATTTCACTAGTGTAGCCCTTTTGCGGGGTGAGGGGGTTAAGGAAAAATATGTAATCCGTCATTTTGTATCGGCCGCCACTTCGAATTTATAATGTTATTGATTTTATTGTATTGTCATCAAAATTAAATATGTGTACCAAACTGTAGATCAATCTGACAACGGAAAGGTGCTTAAATTTCAATTTTTAATTTTGACCCAAATAAATCAATTTCTTATGGGTCGAGCTTTAAAACCGTTTAAAAGAGTCGTTATTTTATTGCATTTGATGCTACACACTTACATCTACACTAATATAATATATTGTATTATAAAGCTAAAGAGGTTTTTTGAACGCGCTAATCCCAGGAACTACTGGTTCGAATTTATTCATTTTGTGTTAGTTAGACCATTTATCTAGGAAGGATTTAAGCTATCAAACCACGACCAATAGGAGTGAAGAAGCAGTGGGAAATGTGGAGCAGACGGGGTAAATCATGTTCATCCGTTCCGTGCGCTGTGGAAACGGCTCAATATACCCAAATGTGGTTTGGTTAGAGCATTTAACGAGAAAGGCTTTAGACTACATCACGTCGCGGCAAATAGGTGCGTGACTTCGCAGAATAAAAACGGTAAAAAATATCAATCTTTGAGGGCTACTGTTGCGTGCGCTGCGACAAATAAAATCTTGAAGTTAAACTCGCAAGAACGACAGGACGCGGACGACGTCGTTGGAGAAGCTTAAATTTGTATAGATGAGGTTCGTTACAATAACTAATTTGGATGCCCAAAATAAATATGCCACGCGGACGATTTCGTGGGTAACCGGTAGTAGCTTTATAAATTGACTTTAAGAGTTATCAGGTACTTCATTATAGTTTCGATTACCTAACTACGCCAAATTAGATAATCACGGGCAAATGTACTTTTCAATGGGTACTCCTACTTCAAAGGACTCCTTTGACGATGTTAATTAGATTCTTACAATCTTTTTACGTCTCACTTTTTTGATGTTTTTTAGACCAGCTCGCTGGTCTACTAGCAGTGTATAATCAACGGGTCGTTGGTTTGATCCTCGTCGGGTCCAACATGTTTTCTGGAAATCTGGAAAGAAAATGGTAAGGATATCGCAATTCTGTCCAAGACACAAACCACCGTCCACAGATGAAAAGGCTGTGAAGTTTAATCGCGTTTCGGTTTCAGTGTAGATTTCCGAATTGTTAACGCGAAAATAGGTCGACATCTTGCTGAGCTGTATATAGCTGTTGTATTTTACCATCTAGTGAACCACAAGCTTATCTGTCCTTCTCTATCATAAAAAGGAACACATTAAAATAGTAACGAAAAGGTAAGGTACTTATAAATAGTTTAACTAATATAGCTTAAGAATCCATGATTTAAAACGTGCTGAGTTCGAATGTACGTTTTTTTAGATACATAAAAAAGAAAAGCAAACTTACCTCATTACAGGAGCGTTAAGGGTGAAATTTTGTCATGGATTCGTAACCCGTTCGTTCGCTGCGTTTGTTTCAATATTAAATATTTAAGTCATATTGGCAATATTTTCAGTAACATAATTCAGAACTTTATTAATAAACGAGGACATTATTTGTTCTCTGATAAAAAAACATGAGATCCACTCGATATAAACTAACATAATATAACAATTACATAATATTTTATGACTAAATACACATTAAAATACGCGATATATCAGTTAAACTTATTTCTCTTATGAATAGTCTATAAAATAAAAGGTAAGTTTGGAAAGAAATCATTTCTTTACCATCATGGCTCTACGTCATAAATGTCACCAAACTTTCCAAAAGCGAAGTAACGAGTGTTGAATAATATGTTACAACTTATTGAACACTTTAGTAACTCAATAAGATAGGCTACTGATGGGCCCACGGATTACTAGAGTTGGAACATTAGTCCCAACGTAACTCAGTAGACTCCCTTTTCAGAGGCAACTGTTTTATTTTGTGTATTTAGTCATAAAATATGATATATTCTTGTTATGTTATGTTAGTTTATATCGAGTAAGCCCGTGTTTTTATCGGAGAACAAACAATGTCCTCCTTTATAAATAAAGTTGATTATGAAATGAATTATGTATTATGTTACTGAATATATGACCAATATGACTTAAATATTTAATATTGAAACAAACGCAGCGAACGAACGGGTTACGAATCCATGACAAAATTTCACCCTTAACGCTCCTGTAATGAGGTAAGTTTGCTTTTCTTTTTTATGTATCTAAAAAAACGTACATTCGAACTCAGCACGCTTTAAGTCACGGATTCGATTTCCATCCGCGTTATAATTTCTTTAATCCAAAATATACTTCATATGAAAAGAATAAAGTTATCAACAACTACAAAAACAATTTAAGCGAAGAAACCTTAAAGGAACGCCTTTGTAACGATGTAATTTACGAGAGTAGAGCACATTTAAATAACTTTTAACATTTTAAAACGCGAAGTGTAATAGTTAACTTATTTATAATTTATTTTAATTACGGACCGACATTTCGGATACTTTGCAGCAGCCGTGGTCACGGAGTAACTCAAGGCCCCAGTTAAAATAAACAAACCTAAAAATAAAACAAACAAACGTTTCAGCCTTATATATCAGTATAGGTACATTGCTCTCAAAGTCTAGGCTATCAATATAACGAAGGATGGTCAAGGCATATAATGAGACACCATTTACGGAGACGTGCCAAGAAATGTCAGTTTAATGAAATTATGTGGCTCTCGGTGGACGTGGTGTGGGAAATTAAATTCACTTGGACCCCTCTAGAACACTAAGAAAATTGGTTAGCATACGTTATAATGTACGACACTTACACATACTAGTCGCATGACGTTGGCTGCAAAGCATCCGATCCGCCGGGCCGTAGTTATAAAATGTAAATATTTGATTGTAGTAAATATAATTGATGGTAGGTGAAATATCCCAGCCATATAACATCTAAACATGATGTGCTATCGACCTATTTTCATGACGATGGACGCGAACTGCGAACTATATCGCGTTTTAAACCGTTAATAGTGTTTTACTTAAAGGTGCATTGCGTTAAATGCAGACTACTAAATAAATGTCTGAATGACAATTTGTGTTGTACCTAAATATGGTTCCAACAATTGCGTAACATTGAATATATTACGATATAGAATAAAAAAAAATCATATTGTAATTTCGACTTACGAAATACGCAATAACTCGGTACATTCCAGTGAGCTTTGTTAACTTTTCTCATTGACGTGGAGAAACTTTAATAAAATAACTTCATGAAGAGAAATTATTTCGCGAGATGAAGACAAAATTCAAAAATGACCTCTTTCAGTTTAGTTCTCGAATTTACAATGGACATTTGAATGCCGACAAAACATCTGCTTTAGCTTTTTATCGCAATAAAACTGTCAGGGTCCTTTTGTGTCCAGGATTAAAATTATAAAAACGGAGGCTCAACGTAGGCAAACCTTTCTTACATTATAATGTAGATTCCACATAAAATAAATGGACGCAGTTATAAGGGTTATCATGGCTGGCCTATATAAAATAGCATTAGGGATAAAGAAGGAATAAACACTTGTAATATTATCGTACATGATAGCATTATATAAATTAAAAATCGTGTCGTATTTTTTTTCTCTCTTTGAATTGTATAATAACAAGTAATCATTTTCCCCCTTGTAGCGGTAGTGTTGCCCAAATGTAAGAAGACGACGAGGGTTAGCCAGTCTTGGTCTTGGTGTTGGACTTGGTCTTGGTTTTGCAGCAAAAGTCTTGCAAGTCTTGCGATTACCTATTAGACTATTACTATTTATTAAAGTTTACTTTCGATCTTAGAAAAACGTATTATATCCCGTTTTCCATGGGAGTAACTGTTTCTAAAACATTTACGCTTTACAGCTGCGGAGGTTGCCTTTGTTTAAATAAATGAAACAATTTTAACGGTTTAAAACGCGAAATATACTAAGACGTAATATATTTCGACGACATTTTTTGAGTCAGATGTTCAATCCCCAATCGTACCTACTTTAAACATTTGCCTCCTACATTCTGGTACATATTCCGGTAAAGAAAAACGTCGTTAAGAAACTCTTTTAAAATGCGTAATTCTGGTGATGGGAACTCTTTAAGGATCGATCTTGATGATGAATAAATCGTTTTTTTATCATCTTGGCCAATATCAAGAGACAGGTGCTGTATAAATAGAATTAGTTAACCTATACCCCTATATATATATACGTACAAAATACGTAAAGCTCTTTATACACTGCTGTTTCTATTTGTTTTAAATAAGCAATACAAATACAATAAACGTGTTTCCGGTCTGAGTTTTATCGACCTATCAAATACGGTTGTCAAGCAACACTACTAAAATATATATTTTATCCAGCTTCTACAATATGCGCGTCGCATTTGTCTGCAATAGGATCGTTCTTAGTAGATTAAGCTTAACTTTTAAAAAAAAGAAGTGTTTAAATTGTAATAAGTCTACTCAAACACAATTTAATAGGTTTGGTAATAACCTATATTTAAGATTCTTATAATTGTAATGGCGTCTTAATTTGACAGAAGTAACTTTTAAAAAATGGCGGATCAAAACAGGTAAGTTTATAACTTGTAAGTTAATTTAAAAGTATTACTTTTGTGTGTGTTATGGTGGGCACGCAGTGTGTGTATTTTTATTGACTAGACGAGAAACCCATTTTAATATGCTGTATTATATTATATCTACCAGCACAAACGTAGCCAGTGTTACAGATTTAGATTAAAAAGTATGTACCTATGTTTTTCTTTTCTTGTTAAACGAATGTGTGGCGTAGACACACTTTTGAGGTGTATATAAATATGTATATAAGTGTGAATCTTAAAACATGGCTTCAAATATAATATATTCAGTGTCTGTTCTATGTCTACTACTTAGACATGTTTTCTTTCAGAATTAGTAAAATGGATGCTTTACTATTTGCGATAAATTTAGAAGTGGCAATTTTGCAACTCCGTCTTGTTGGTGAGTGTATACATAAAAGTAATATGATGGTTAGTAAGTAATAATAGAATAATATTTAAATCTTACAAAATCAATAGATATTTGAAATTCAGTGTCTCTGGTTAATTTTTAATAATAGTAACTGTTATAATTACCTTTAACTTTAATATTAACTACCTATGACCTTAGTCATAACGAGTCCAGTCCCACCGTGACCACAGCTGCTGACAAGTCAAGTTACCTAATATATTTTACTATTTAAACTGTCAAAATTGTTTAAGGAAAACTAAACCAAATTTAATTTTAAAATATTTATTATAACGCCATCTAGGTTAATTTAACAGCACTAAATTTTTGTAGAGAGCTGTGCGAAGTACAATGAACTCTACAATAAAGCTTCTGACACTAGGAAAAGCCATAAGCGGAACAAGCTTTCTAAAGAACGGTAAGTTGCCAATAGTCGCTACTAGATGGCGTTTATTATATATTGACATTGTATATAGGCTTTTAGTAAAAGATGTATTGAGAAGAACTCTTCTGAAGCTTTTAAGTGAAGGAGAAGCAGCAGCCCTTAAAGAATCTGTGTTTTTGCTTCAAAAAAGTGCAATATATGATGTTCAACTTAGAAGATCTAATGAGGAATTAAAATAGTAAGTGAGTCACGATAAACCTTAGTAGAAATTGAGTTAATCAGTAAGAATATTTAATGTATATACTAATAACTTTCATCTCTTTTAAACAGTAAGATAGAAGAACTAAGTACGGAGTTAATAAAAATGCGCCTAGAATCAACAGAGAATGTAGACAACTGTGAACGGAATATTTCATTGTTGAAAGATAAAATTAAGGTGCGATGTTATTGTTACTAGTTTTTTCGTAATCATGTTTTCTTAGTCATAATATGAAAGCTACAATAGAAGTATAAAAAAGGTAGGTATAGTAAACAGCCGCCTATGCATATATTTAATTTACGTCTTTCATAAATCATAAGCTATCTTTTACATTTGATAAAATTTAAATCATTAGCATCAAAATCAAGTACTAAGATATACATAATACGTACATAATAGTAGTACGATATAATATACCTAGAACAAATTTTAATTAATAAGGGAAAATAAAGAATTTCCCGTTATCTATTTTTTTAATATCAAATTCTAAATTTTTATGATTTAAAAATCGATTTAATATTGAATCAAAATTGCGCAAGAGGTGCATCGTCATGGTGAAAAAATCAGCAATCCCGTATAGGACGCGATAGCTCATTTAGTTAGAGATGCCGGTTCAAGTCCTGCACGCGTCGTAAATCTTAAATTGATTTTTGATTTATATAATGTCATTATGTGCAATCACATGTGAAAAATATTGAAGGTTTAAGCGACTCATCTTATCCTATTTTTTTACAACTTTATCAATACTATTCAGGATACACTATTAAATACAAATATGCAACTAAACTACGTGGATAAATGGTTGTTCGCACGTGCCGAGTCGCTGGATTTAGAACATCGAATAGAACTGCCTCCGCCTCCTCGTGTGGACTTCGAAAAACGAGTACACGAGCAAGTAATCAAGCTATATGAACTACAGATAAAGGTCAGACACCCAAGTTCCTAGAAAACTTTTTCTGCATCTCGAAATTCAAATTGTTCCTTGAGACCAATGGACCACAATTAAATTGAAGTAGATATAATTATTTCTCGGCGAATCATGACTCGGCAATTTTAAAGTTTCATGTCGTCGCCGACAAGATTTACTATTAACCATTGCTATACTGAATTGTTTAATGAAAATAAGAATTTACCAATAGGAACGAGAGGCATCACTAGAATACTGGAGATCGAGGTATAATAAAGACATTGCTGATATAAAAGAGAATGTAAAGTTACAATGCGAAAAGTTAAAGGAGGCTGTTGATCGGAGAACGGAGTTGCAAAAACTGGTAACTTTAAAAAAATCGTAGAACAATTGGGAATTGAAAAAAAAAATCTTTAGTCTGTGATAATGTAATTATAAACTTGTAGTTTATAACTTAATTCCAATATAATATAACCAAACAGCATTAAGTTTTGCAACACACAAGTAATATGCTTAATAGTCTTATTAAGCATATTACTTGTGTGTTGCAAAGTGTTGCAAAAGTGTTGGGGAGTTACGTTTTCTTTTATTTAATTTAAATGATAATATTTTGATATGTTTATAACAAAGAACCTTCTTGATCGTATTGTGAATACTTATGTATATCGATATTTATTTTATAGTACGATTTGCACGAGGGAGAAATGCGCGCATGGCTGACTTTCAAACAGGAGCGTTCGGCGCGACTTGCTCGAGAGGAACGCTCGCGCGTCGCAGCCACGCGCATTCAAGCGTGGTGGCGTGGTGTCATGGTGCGCCGGTGTATTGGCGCGTTTCGACAGTTGAAGAACGCAAAGAAATCACCTTCTAAACTGAAGAGAAAATAAAATGTTAAATGTTTTCTAATCAGTAATCACTACAAAGTATAAAACAAAGTCGCTTTTTTATCCCTTTGTACGCTTCAATCTTTAAAACTATGCAACGGATTTTGATGCGTTTTTTTTTAAATACATGGAGTGATTCAAGAGGAAGGTACCTTCCTCTTGAATCTATGTATTTTTTTTTATGTATTTTATGTAGTGTATCTCGAATCAGCAATGCACCCGAGCGAAACCAGGGCGGGTCGGGAGTGACTTTATAATTTAGTAGAAAATTATAATAGATAATAATTAACCCATGTAAATTATTTAGATTTCTCTTTGAATTTTTGACGATGTAGCTTAAAATTCATTTAATGAAAATATTTTAATACAATAAATTACTTTTTGTTTCGAGATTAAATTATAGTTAATAAAATTCGTTTTTGTTTTCGTATATATTACCTTCAAGAAAAGAAGAACAAACTTTAATTAAATAACTTCACATGATAATGTATGATTTTTCTGAAATAAAGAGGTAAAAATACTGATTTAGACTCAAATGATTTTTTGTTTATCTATCCCTTCTCCATTTTTTATTGTTCTTAAAATGAATACAAATAAATTAAATTAGTATTCTGTAGTGTCATATGTGTAGAAATATAAGTAATACTAAAGCTACATTTTAATGTGGTTTTTAATCTGTAAAGAATCATTGACATTATGCCAAAAGTCACTGTCAGATAGAAACGTCAAATATTCACGCTTCAACTGACAGCTCTGTACTATCATTATTTTCTCAGTCGCGTTTTGTCGGCGTTCTTGACAGTGTGTTGTGGTTTCGAATATATTTAATTATAAAGTTGAACAACGTTTTTTGTAATTAAAAGGCTTATATGTCGCGGAGCTCTTGTTAAAACTTTAGTAGCAAAGAAATAATAACAATATGTGTTGTGGATAAACTCTGTGATTAAGTTTTCATTGAACATTGCAATATCTTCAGAATTCTTGGTAATTTGGATTTTACCGCTGTCCGATTTGGTGAGTAATCATTTAGTTTGCTTTCTTTTTACATCATTATTGTTTTTATTGCAATATTTATAGTTTTAAATGTGTAAATGAATAATAATGATATTCTTAAAGTGTATAAATAACGACTTAAAAATGTTTATTATTATTTACTTAAAAAGAAAAATGGCACATCTATGTACTTTTTATTTCATTTATTGTAACACAAATTTATTTCATAGATATTCTTGAATTCAATACTTTATTCATATAATCAATGTAGACACTTACGACATCTGTACATATATGAATAATAAATAACTTTTTGCTGTGTTTAGTCTTTCTAAGTATTTATGTAATACATCTAAGTTATTCTCAGTTCCTATTTATTTGTCGGTAGCTAACATTGACAAATTATTTAATTTGCAAATAAAAGTATATAGGTATTGAGAATTAGATGTTTATACATGGCTGCTAGTAACCATTGAATCCAACAATTTAGCCAGTGCTTTTATCCGTTTACCCTATGCTATAAGTCCGCTAATATACCTCTACTGTTCTGTAACACACAATCTAGAAGAATAATTATTTATTTGTTCTTAGGATTTCTTAGTTATTTTTTATCTCTATTAATCATCTTTAAAACATCTAAAGTTGTAGCAACAGTCTAGCTATTAAGTTATCTGAAGCCTTTTATGAAAAAGCAAAAATTAAAAAAAAATGCTACAAAATGGAATAAGCAGTTATGTTATTATTTATTTTGTACATTTAGAATTGACCTTTTCAATAAATATAATTAATTTGTCATAAGACATATATGTATTTGATTTGAATAAGGCCTCACTGATGAGAGGTTGTAATATCGCTGCTATACAGTTGTATCTGTAGTTTAAGCAAGTAGTTCACATTTTAAATAAACACAAAAAAAATACATTAGGTAAACTTATTTGAAAAATATTTTAATTACAGTCTATCCACGACCCATGCAAAACACATGAAACGTCGGGCCGTAGTTAAATTACATTACCATTAATATATTTCGCGTTTTAAACTGTTAAAGAGTTTTATTTAAATCGCTCCCATTACAAAGGTGATGATGCCATATATCAGACTAGATGTAAAAACGTCAAAAGTACGAACAAGTCCAGGCACCGTAGAGAAACCGGCGAGCGGGTTTTTTGCTCTGTGGCTTACAGCGGCTGTGGGCTCAGCGCGCGGTAATTAGCGCGTTAATCGCACCAACGTACTGCAGTTGATGCAACTGCTTTTCCGAGAAGCCGAGCAGCCGAGCTCGCGGGAGCAGCAAATTACCGTCAGATATGTACGGCTGTCGGTAATTGCAAAAATCACTCGTCTCACCGTCGGACAAGCTTGTACTACCCACTCCTACTTGTTTTACACTTTGATAATAAATCAGTGTTTATTGTTTGAAAATCTTTTAAACGCGGTTTTTACCGGTAGTTCAATTGATTAGAACGGAACGCTGTGAATACTCGTTCAAGCCCCGCCCGCGTTGTATTTTTTTTATCAATCTAAATAGATTTCAAAGATTCAGTCTGTTCGGTATTAAATTTGTGTCTTACAAATCTCTTTTTTAGGGCCAGTTACTTCATGTATATGAACCGCTTCTTCTAGATAGGCCACGCTGTAGGCACAATTCTTGTTGATCGGATTTTAGTGGCCTGCCCTATTTATTATTTTCTACGGGATTTAAACCCAGAATATCTCGCTTTTAGCATGATAATAAAAGTGCACCTAAGCATTAAGCCGTGGAGGCGGTACAAAAATAATTAACGAAATGTTAAAAATCCGGCCGTTAATTTAAAATCCATATAAACGTCGTTTGTCAGAACTTGTTTAAACGTTAAATACTGTCTATAGTTTACGCGAGTAGTACACATTTAAATAAAACACTTTAACGGTTTAAAACGCAATATATTAGTTAAACTTATTTGAAAATGATTTGTTTAAACGTTTGTTAAAGTTAAAGATTTACCTGATCCTTGGATTGCACATCAACGCCATAACAATTAGGTACTGTTTGTTGTATAACGAAGGAGTTCAAATTTAACGTACGTAAAATACAGATTGATTGTACCATTAACGAGACTGCCTTTAAAGATTTAAATTCGGCGCTTTATTGGTGATCGAATGAATGAATTTATCTTTGTCAATCAATCGATTAGTGTTATGTGTTATTAATTGTATCGTTAAAATGAAATTCCAAAATCACAACAGGATGTTTACCGTTTGAAATTAGGTTTGTTTTTCGCTTGCATTATGTAAGGTAAAGTAAAATCAAAGGAAACGTTGTGTTCCGTTCTTTGTCTAGGCAAAGTAGATCGAAAAAGTTTATGTTGTAACCTTTTATTACTTATTTCAAGTGCCTATCCGTACTCATTTATATCGAGTTCAACAAGGCAATTAGCTTTCTGGTTGGGATTCCCCCATATATTTATTTATTATTTGCGGTTTAATGGTAACTAAAACATAATAGGGATGTTCGCATATGTTTTTGATAGTTTTTTTTTAACTATAGATAGGTACCTTATTTAACTCCAAATATTAAATTAAAATATTTTTAGCCTTTAAAATGTCCTAAAATATGATTTTAAAACGCCCGGAAACATCGTATTGCATGATAATGACGTCACGGCTTCTTGATCGAGTAAACTGTTAGTGGGAGAAAATTCATGGGCTCTAAGTTCTAAAAGTAGCTCTATTTGAAATCAATACATTATTTATTCATGTTTTTCGATCAGCAAAATTATTTTTTAATTAAACTATATAAAGCTAAGGAAAATTATTGAAATATTTCTGAAGCAAAAACTACTAATTTGCATTCAAACTATATTTATTACAATCAACATCCCTATTGTAACAATTTATATTGATATTTTTAATTGATGATGGACAGACGAATAGCAAAGTCTAAGTAATTTAATCCCTTTGGGGACGGAACCCTAATAAAATGAATGTTTCTAAGTAAGACGGCGACTCAACCGCGAAACTAACATTCGTGGAATAAAAGTCATTAAGTTCTTTCGATATTCCGACTCCTGGAAACTAGGTGGGTACTTCCTAATGGTTCATTTTTAATTCATTTTCGTAAATCGTTTTTATGTAGGTAGTATCTAAATTCTAGAAAAACAGAAATTATGACCATGGTAAAAAAGCCTACCACTAAAACGGACACAATTATGTGTCCGTTTTAGTGGGGTAGTAGTCTATATAAGGGAAAAGGGCTTTCCCTTTTCAATAATTCCATCATCAGCTATTCTGTAATATACCAAATGTTTTTTCTTGTTTAAAAGTAAATAATAATAGATTGTGTTAAAAAAAACTATAATTAAATACTGTATACGCAAGTAGTACACATATATCGGGTTTTCCACGTTTCGGATGCTTTGCAGCCGGGCCGTAGTTAAATTATTTGTAAATTAATATATTTCGCCTTTAAACAGTTCAAAATGTTATTTTAACAAAAATTTAATTCGTGATACCCAACGTAATGAAATTCGTTATATATATACCTATGACAAATAAATTTATTCAGCTGGTAAAGAAATCATAAAAATATTTTCAACAGGTAAATAAAACAAATCCTTATTTCTAATCTTTACAGTCCCCCACAGTGTTAATGAATACTTTCCGTAAAGTACCTACTATCATATTTGTTAGAAATACTTTGGGTATATTTTTAATATGCTCATCAATACAAAATACGTTATAAGCCGCGATTCGGGTAATCGGCGTTCTATGAGGAAAATTTCCTCGTCAATACCAGGAATATGAAAGTTAGGAGATAAAGTTATTTGCCAACTCATAATTCTCTATCACCAACTTAATACCTGCTAAATAATCACTTTTGAAATCCGTTCTTTGTTTAAGTAACGGAATCCTTGCTATCGGTGGCTCGAGCTGTCTCGATGTCTATTGTTTAGACTAGCCCACTTAAATATTACAGAAAGTTGAATAATGAGAACAAAGGCTCGCAATAAACCGGTAGGACTGTGTTTTACCGAGAATCGTACATCGAGCTATCATTATCCTTATTGAATTCTATATTTTCCAAGGCCGAACGAAGGGTCGATTACGAGTGTCACATTTCTAAAAGAATGATAATATTTTAACGGTTTAAAACGCGAACTGCATTAGTTAACGGTACGGCTCGGTGACCACGGCTGCTGCAAAGCGTCCGAAACGACAGGCTGTTGTTAATATAAATTGTGACTATACATTTCGCGTTTGACACCGATAAAGTGTTTAATTTCAATGCAAATATGTTTACGCTTAGAGCTTGAATCAGTGGTAGTCCCCCCGTGACCACGGCCGCCGCAAACTGTCCTAAACGCCGTACTTAATATATAAGAGTTATAATTGTGAGATAACTTATACATTTCGCGTTTCAAACCGTTAAATGTGCCTTATTTATATGTGTACTGCTCGCGAACACTACATTGGTATTAGTACTAACTTACGTTCGTATCGCATATGTAATGTATGCAGTTAATATCTACGTTGACAATAAAGTATAATCTACGTAGGTAAAGTTGATATTATAATAATAATTAATATGTCATGCGATATATTTATAAAGTACTTAAATACAACAGTTGGTTGTACTAAAAATATCGCTTTGGACCTGATCTACTACTTTTCATAGAATTGTCGCTATTTATCTAGAACTACAATAGAAGGAATCGTGATGTTATAGCCTTCGTCGATAAAGGGTCTAAATATCGCAAAAATAATTTTTAATTTGAACCAGTAGTTGCTCAGATTACCGTCTTTAAACAAACAAACTCTTCAGCTTTTTAATATATATATATATATATATATATATATATATATATATATAGATTGCGTGAAGTCATTAAAACATTCTACTGTGTCCTAAAAATGTGTCATACCAACGTATGTAGTCACTAGTACATATTATGTAGGCTTTTTTGTGTCCTTTTATGAGAGTCATGTTACTACGGTGTAACGAATTTTAGAGCGGTTGAGTAATGTTACTGTCGGTAAGGTGATCGATGAAAAAAGCGGTTCACAGCTTTTAATTAAGTAACATAATGATCTAAATTAAACACTTTTAACGGTTTATAACGCGAAATATATTAAGCAAACTTATTTTTAATGTACTTTCACTACGGCCCGACGTTTCACAGGCACATCTAAAGATTAAAAATATTCTTCTAATGTACAGGCTTTCAACAACTTCACACGTATACAATTTGTGATTTTTGTATTTGCAGAATGTGACAAACAGCTATGTGGTTGATCGTGTCGTTGAGCCTGCTGGCGAGTGTGTCGGACACACACTCCGCCGGCTACTGTTCCACGAACACGTTCCCAACCAATTCGTCATGGATGCACTTCACAAAGGAGCCAATTCCCTTCGAGTACGGCTTCCAAGATAAATTCAAGAGCATACATTGCTGCGTCAAGGGGTACAGGAGCATCGAATGGTGAGTAGAAGTCAAAGTCAATAAGTCATACCGGTTCTCTAATTAAGGGCGTAGAGAACGAGAAGAACTGGCAAGTAACTCGCCGCCACTGCTTTTATCGCCAAATTCATTTTAATCTCCACGTACTTTAACCGACTACATATTTACTGTTGTTAGAGTGGATTCCTCCACCCCAACAAATAGACACCATGGGTGGGTTCCACCTGTCAATTAATCGTTGTACATGATAAAACTAACCGCTTCATTGTTATAAAGTTGAGCAGACGTAATCTATCTATCTACATAATATTATATGTATATAAATCTGAGAGTACTTATTGTAAATGAATTTCTTCACATTTACCTACATGCACTTCAATTTCATCGCCTCTGTAGATAAATGGTTAAATGCCTAGCAATGCGTTAAGCGCGGGAGGTCCTATAGATTGTTTCGGTCGGGCAAGGCACAGAAGTCTGATGAAATTGCCTGCCAATAAAAACTGATCTGTGACACGGGCACAGAAATGTGTTAACCCTTATGCCCCAAAGGGGATTTGACAGTTTTTTTTTGTTTTAATGCCAACTTTTAAACTTGGCATTGATTTAAGAAAGCGAAATTAGTCTTTGATAGCTAATCCCTTAATCAACGTTATTTTTCCTCGGTGAATTTGGCTCTAAGAAGCATTAACACTTGGCTCATCTAAATTTCACTCACGGCGATATGATTGCCATGTAAAACATTTTCGTTGAACAATGCGCAGACGTCGAGCATAAAAATCGGTTGGAAATTTTGCCCATTGTATTCGAGGATAAAATTATAATCGCGCTTGTCGTTTATAATGGCACTTCCAGCTCGAAGCGAGGTATCGTTTTCGAAAAAATATCATTTATTACGAATCGACTTTTGAAAGTAACAGATCTTAAGTGTTTTTTTCTACATATGTTACCGTAAGATCGTAAATCCGTTAGATTGTAAAATATCCAGCGGGTTTGTTTGGTTACAAATAAATCAATATAAGTAGTCTTATGCTTATCAATAATTCAATTTTAACTGTTTAAAATGCAAAATATATTAGTTAACTTACTTAACGCAACGTTTCGAATGCTTGGCAACAGCCGTGGTCACGGAGAGATTATCGGGCCAGAGTTAAAATAAATTGTAAATAAAAAAAATTTTGAAATTATATAGTGCCTTCATGTGCAATAACATGTAAAAAATAATAAAGTTTTCAAACGTTATAACTCTGTAATTTCATCTTCAATGATTTCTTAACCTGCAAAGCATCAGGTGTAGGACTCGGTAGCGCAAGAGCACTGAACGCTGACGATGCCGGTTCAAGTCCTGCCCGAGTCGAAAATCTTTTCAAATTATTTTCGATTTTTAAATTAAATTGTAAATAAGTTAACCAATACATTTCGTGTTTTAAACCGTTAAAAGTAAATATATAAAAAAAATGTAACTACAGACAATACTTACTTTTATGCCACTTAATACGTCTACTAACTGATAGAAATGTATATGTTGATAAAATAAAAAAAAATAAGTTTGAATTAGTTTAAATTTAAAAGTAGGCAATACTTTTTATAAATTTGTTTAAATGGTCGGTCACGTGTCGTAATTTTAATTATTTTTCCATAAGGTAATAGTGTCTTATAACCAGTTTCATGTTTTATTTATAAACTATTTAGTATGCATGTAAGTAAATAAACTCGAGTAATTATGAGGCTTACTTACTTGACAGACTCAACTTAGTGATACGTATATAAAAAGCTGTATTCTGTGGTCATAGTACCTACATATTTAAATAAAACACTTGTAGTGGTTTAAAACGCGATAATATATTAGTTAAAAAAGGAAAGAAATTATTTTCTTGGCTGAAACATTTTTTATGATAAAGAAGGACATACAAGTATAGGATCCACTTGATGGGAAGTGAAATAACATCTCAACATGACTTTTTCATGTGATGATGTTGATTCATGACGATGATTTTGGTGCCTAACACTTGCTATAAAAAAAATTAAAAACGTATGATAACGATGAGAACCATGTTGGAAATCGAACCCCACGACCCGTTTGTTATTAGCCATACATTACTAGAATTAGAGTTAGTTATACAGTACGTATAGGTATAGAGTTAGGTATACATAACGAGTAACTAAGAAAGGTATATACGCAAAAAACTGCATATCTTTGAACCGCAATGTCTGTATATATAAAGTTGTATTGTACTATAGTTAAAAATACTCGGCAGCGCACACCTGCATGTAAAATACCCACTCAGCTTATTCTTCGAAATGCTGATTACGTATCGATATTGTTGACGAAATGTCGTTCGCGAATGTTTTTATATTTAACACCTTATACACATCGTGTGTCTTGTGTTGAACTTTGAATTATTGTTGTATTTGACATGTTTGTACATGATTTGTGCATACTCGCTGTGTCAGCGACTTCGTCCGCGTAGACTAATTATATGTGGCATCCAAATTTGTTTTTGCAAACGTCTACATCTTTATAAATTAACCACGACATCGGTCGCGATCCGTCGTTCTTGCAAGTTAATCTGAAAAGATAGATATAGTGTCGCGGAGATTTTGTTACATCATTTAAAGAGGAATCATTCTTTCATAGATATTTTTTTGGTGTCTTGAGCCGTTTCGCATCGGAAACACACAGAGATGAAAATTTTCTTCCGTTGAGTTCACATTTCCCGATGTTCCCCATCTTCGCTTCTATTAGTCACAGCGCGATGCTTTATAGCCTATAGCCTTCCTTGATAAACCGGCTCTAACCAACAGAAAAATAATTTTTCAATTCGAACCCGTAGTTCCTGAGATAAGCGAGTTCAAACAAACAAACTCTTCAGCTTATAAATTAGTATAGATTTAATATTTATTTTAGGTTGAAAGACGCTTAAACAAGCATAAGGAGATAATTTAAAAATTAAAACTCTTTTAACGGTTTAAAACACGCAATTAACTAGTCAACTTTTTTACATTTTTTTTTCTACGGCCCAACGTTTCGGTTATTGCACGTTTTAAACCGTTAAATGTGTACTAAATGCTATAATCTGTATGTGCTACTGCATTATTTTTCCAAAACACTTACTTATACATGTATAAGCGGTGTTATTTCATCATTTGTATGTACGAAAAATTTATTAGGTATTAAAAGATAGCGAAAATTAAATACCTCGCTATCTAGTTGAGTCACATATTGCAAAAAGTTGTGTATTTGTTACGTTACGGTACGTTATAAATGAAACACCTCTAACGGTTTTAAAGGTGAATTATTTTGGTTGATTTGTTTTCCACAGGCACGGTTTCTTACAATTAAGTATTGTCTGTAGTTTACGCGAGTGGTAGGCAGGCAGGCAGGGTAGGTAGGTATTAAAATAAAACATTTCTGACAGTTTAAAACGTTAAATTTATTAAGTAACTACTGTTTAACGTTATCTAGTTTTGAATGTTTTTCAGCAACATTAGTAACGGGTTATATAGGTCAAAATAACATTAACTATAAGGATATCCAAAGCTAAGTCGATAGCGCATCATCTGGCTTAGAGGTTATGTGGCTGGCGTATTTCACCTCTCATTAAGTGAATTTGGATAGAGGAGGACAGACAAACGTAATAAGTAAGTTTTAGACCTTCAAATGTTTTATTCATATTGCTAAGTGTGATACACAATTATTATCAGCAAATTAGTCAATTAATTTGCTCTGTCTTGGACGTCGTGACTCATGGATTGATATGGAACTCTAGGCCACGGGACCATTGGATTATGTCATTATCCACTTGTACCGACTTGCTGAATTACAAAACACATTGCCATTATTGAACTTCGTGGAAATCAGTAATTTCCTTCAGCTCGTCTTCGTCGAATCGTGCGCACAGTTGTTATCTTATCGATCGTTCGAATAGCGTAAAAATTGCTATGATGGTAATTCTAATTTGAAGCAAAATTGATCGGAAATAAAATGAATACCAAAAATGCGATTTATTTATTAAAAAAAAATAAAGATTTTTTGTGTTGTGTTCTGAAATTTTAACATCTTAAGTTGATGATGCTTATAACTGCGGTTGTAGTAATGCCTCGCGATTTTTCGCAGCAATTTTTTTTTTGTTTTTTTTTTTTTTTGAATTGATTATTACGTATTGTGTTCCTATGGAGCCACGAATACTAACCGGACGTTTTGGGCGAGCGCGTTAGCGCTCGCCGTGTTTGCGACTAGACCAAGGGTGCCCCGAGGGGGATTTTTTGTGTGCACAACGCAAACTCTCAAAGGTGAATATTTTTCCTCGTTTATTCCACATTTGCCACTGTTTATTCGCTCCTATTAATCACAGCGCAAAGTTTTATAGCCTTCCTCGGTAACTGCTCCAACCAATACAAAAAAATAGATTATTTAAGGAAGAATCATTCTTTCGTATATTTTATCGGTTTCTTAAACCATATCCGCAGCGCACGCAACACAAGTCCTCAAAGATGAATGTTTTCCCCCGTGTCTTTCCAGATTTTCCACTGAATCTTTCCTATTAATCTCAGCCTGAATCTGTTTACCACAAAGTCTTACTCGATAAATGGTCCATCTGACACAAGAATAATATATAAATGTAAAATATTTTTTTCAATTCGAACCAGTAGTTCCTGAGATAAGCGCGTTCAAACAAACAAACTCTTCAGCTTCATATTATATTAGTATAGATATAGATGAAGATAACGTGGGCCGCCTGGGGTAGGTATGGACGGATAGAGCGTGACAGTTCACTGTAATAATGACTCGCTTACGCACGTGTCCGTCTATTTACCGGCAACGATTCCTAGAACTCTGCAAACATCGTTAGACATTGTGCCTTTTTTAGCCGAATTGCGAGTTATATTGTTCGCGGGCGGAGCTTGCGCTGATCTAGGTCGAAGCTTGTAACGCCCATTTTTTGTTTATATTTGTAGATCACAAATTCTCGTAAGACTATAAATGACGACACGTATATTAAAAAAGCTGAAGAGTTTGTTTGTTTGTTTATACTAAGCTCAGGAATACTGCTTCGTAATAAAAAAATATTTTTGTGGTGTTTGGACCATTTATTGAGGAAGGCTTTAAGAACATTAGGCTGTGATTAATAAGAGCATAGTAACACACTGAAATGTGGAAGATACCCAAAAATATGAATGAAAGAATGATTATTTCGTTAGTTGCTTTTAAAAAATGTCCGCGAAAGTATATGTCTATCTTTTAGGATTCATTCGTGAGAATGACTGGACGCCGTCGACCTCCTTAACTTTTAGGATTACAACTGTTAACAGTTGCTCGCAAAAATTATTTTAATTCTTAAAGTAACTATTACACGCGGACCTAGTCGCTGGCACAGCTAGTATTTAATACCCGTTAGAAAGATTTCGGTTGCCAACGCGTAATTTAGTTGTCAATTGGGTAAAAAATCTTCGGTTTGTCGGTCTGTCACCTTTAATTAATGTCTTTACGCTTCGTCGCTGCGAGAATGATATCTCCATTATATAAGACACTTAACTGTTAAAAAGCGAAATTTTCTTACAATCGTTGTCACAGGGAATCACTCATCGGAAACGTGGGGTCGTAGTTTTAGTATTAACATTTATTTCGCGGTTTAAAACCGTTAAAGTTTTAAGTGTAAAATTTGATAAGAATGTATTTTGGTTGAGCCAGGCCCTTGTTACAGTTGATGAGATCTGATATTTATATTAAATCGAGATAGTTTTAATTTGTTATTGTTTGTACTTTTAATGCCGTCGTAGTGCTTACACTAAACAATAGCTGTGCCGGCGACTTCGTCCGATTTTTTCGTTTGGCAAGAGCGACAATGAGACGCTGAAAGAGTCGAGTTAATCTTAAAAGATAAAATAATTTCCCCGGTTGCCACTATTTCTTCGCTCGTATTGGTCCCAGCGTGATGTTATACCCTTCCACGATAAATGGTCTATCTTACAGAATAAGTTTTTCGATTCGAATCAGTAGATCCTACTAGTGCGTTAAATCAAACTGTTTAACTTTATATTAGTATAGATGAAGGGTATCTCTGTAATACTAAAATACAAATTGCAATATTATGAAATGAAATGACTAAAATTATGTTACCTTTATCTCCTATACGTGTGTTATCTGCAGATGCCATTTGCTGATTAATGCGTCTTCGTATATAGTTTCGATCCGTTAGTGGTTTTGTATGAATCAATTTTTATTCAAGTGTTCCCAGTACTCGGTTCGTCACTGCAATTGCGTAGGTGTTATGTTAACTTATGAATAAGCAATTTTAAATTTAACGTAATAATAACCAGAGCCAAAATAGTGCATCTCGTTTAGATGCTATAGACTGCGGTATTTGTCTGTCGTTCTCTGTCATTAAAAATACTGGAATTTACTTGATAGTGATATCGTAGCCATGTTAACTTATATGATTTTGCGAAGAATCCACAGATTGAAACTGAAACGAGATTAAATTTCACGGCTTTTTCATGGCCAACATGTTTAAAAAAAATACAAATTCATTAGAAATATGTTGGGATCCGATGGAGATCGAACTCGTTATTTATTTATTACTACAATTAGACCAATGAGTTAGTTCTCCAAACGGGATTTTCCAGACGTTAATCTGGTTAATTAGGTTTAAAACAAGGAGTTAGAAAACATTCATTGAATAAAATGATTGAAGATTGAAAAAAATACCACACGGGCAGTACTCAAACCGGCAACCATAGCGTTCCGCGCTCTTGCTCTGGATAGAGTAACATTAACGAAAAGTTAATTCTGATCCCTGATCCAAGTGGTAACCGTTTATTAATTGATACTACTGGACCGATAGTTGACACAAATGATGGTTAGAATCTGCACGCTACCTCAGTCCTTTACCGTTGGTTTGACAAAGGGCCCGATGTGTACCTGGCCATATCTGCGAAGGTATCGCACGTCGCCCTGGCTGCAAACCTGTATTGTGACGGTTCCCGGAAGGCGCTTTGTTGCGCACCGCTGCTCTCCCCCTCCCATCCCCCTCTCGACCGACTTGCATCGCCCGCGCAGCCTCAATCTCCACGGGAACGTCCTCCGTCCTTTTCTCACGTGATCGTGTGTCAGCCATCAAGGTTTATTCGTTTTGATAGTTCGCTTATATTTTTTGACAGATGACCACTTTTGTTAACAAAGGCGGGGCAGATGTGATCAATATTGTTAGCGTTTGAATAGGCGATCAACGAATGTCTTTTAATTGTTATTTATAGGTCGTGTCATGTAATATTTGATTAATTTAATGCGGAAACTGTTATCTTAAGTTGTTTCACACTAAATTAATTTTTATCACCTTCGTGCTGCAATGCTTATCAACTTTGTTTTTAATTATTAAAATCACATTTTTCTGAAACACTTTGAACTTCGTCTGAAAATCTGAATTTCAAATGAACCTCCTGCCTGTCTATATCCTATATCATAAACAAACACTAAAGATAAATTATTTAGTCAAAATGAAGCAATGACGGATGTTCTCCCGTTGTTAATTATTAATGTCTTAATAAAGGTGTTCGAGATAGTCGTTTCGAATCGTACTTAATGAAGTGGCCATAAAATACACAAAACATCAGTAGACCAATACAAAAAACCTTGTCTTGACATGTTAAGGCGACCCGATTTGTTGGTCTGATTATTTCCAAAGCGTTTACAACCGACCGCCCGGGACAGGTAGAAATGTTTTGTTTTACAAATACGGTTGTCTGTTTCTGTGGACGGAAAGCGAAATTAATAGGTTTAGTCTAAATACTGTCTGTACACATATTAATAAAACACTCTAAACGGTTTAAAACGCGAAAAATAAATAAATAATTATTTTAATAACTTTTTACTTATACATTTTGCGTTGTAAACCGTTAGTCTTTTATTTAAAAGGTTAGGTCTAACGCTATGCTAATAAAAAAATAATCAATGAAATTGCAATGTTTTTGAAGTATTGCTTTAAAAAGTTTCTCAATATTTTTGTTGTTAATGTATATTACTTTTAGGGACAGCTTTGTGCCTCAAGTCGGCATAATTCAGGTGATGATACGAATCAGCGAGAGGTCCTGGGTAGTGTTGCCCAAACGCAAGAACAAGACGAGACTTAGCCAGTCTTGGTCTTGGTCTTGCGCCAATACACCTGGTCTTGGTCTTGGTCTTGGTCTTGCGCTCCCAGTCTTGGTCTTGGTCTTGGTCTTGCAGCAAGAGTCTTGCAAGTCTTGCAAGTCTTGCAATTACCTATTAGTCTATTACTATTTATTAAAGTTTACTTTCAATCCTAGAAAAACGTATTAGAATTGGAACATTGTGAGCTTGAATGAATATAGCCATAGTAAAGATCAAGCAGATTAATAAATAACTGAAGATTTGATAAGAAATTCGAAAAATCAACTGACCTATATGTCGTTTTCCATGGAAGTAACTGTTTCTTAATAAACATTTATGATTTATAAGCTTACATTTGCTAAAACATGTAAAAAAACAAATTAATTACAATAACTTGACTGTATTTTAAAGAACAATACTTATCTGTCTAAAAAAAGATTGAACCCTCAACTTATAAGAAATTTAATAAAAGTGTTTTACGATTTAAATAAAACACTTTAACGGTTTAAAACGCGATATATTAGTTAAACTTATTTGAAAATGATTTTTAACTTCGGCCCGACGTTTCGGATGCTTTGCAGCAGCCGTGGACACGAAACGTCGGGCCGAAGTTAAAAATCATTTTCAACTAATATATCGCGTTTTAAACCGTTAAAGTGTTTTATTTAAATGTGTATTACTCTCGTAAACTATAGACAGTATTTAGTTTTACGATTTATCATTTATTTGAATAAAAAATAAAATACAACACAAATCAACAGCTTTATCATTAGGTTATGATACTTTATATCAATTTTTTTGACCAAGAATTAATACAAAGTAACCATCTGGCTGACTGACTCATCACTTAACCTATTTCTATGTTAACAATAATATAAAGCGTGTAAAAAAATTCGAAATTATTTTGCATGAGTATACCTACGCCCTATGGCGGCAATCAAATAGTGTCAAATGTTATGATTTCGGCGTGGCGGCAACGATTGTTTTAGATTTCAAAAGAAGCCGCCGGCGCGTGTATCATAACCATGTACTTCCGAAAAGCGGCAAATTTCTTTGAGAAGTAAGTACAAAACTTTTGATGCCGCATTATCAAAGTCCCGATGGTTAAAACATAACTATGCATGCACTCAGTTTGATTTTAATAATTTTTTTATTCGCTATGTTTATGGTATTAGTCGTAATGCGCATAGGTCCAGTTTTTCATATTCCATGATACAGTTTTTTGCGTCTCATAGAATTCCTAAGCGTACCTACCTACACACCGAACTGTTAACTACTCAGTGAAATAGCGCTAAGTCCTAGCTGCAAGACGCAAGAGTCTTGCAGGCTATGTCTTGTTCTTGCTCAAGTCTTGCACGGTCAGTCTTGGTCTTGGTCTTGCTAAAAATACGCGGTCTTGTTCTTGGTCTTGGTCTTGCAAAAACGCAAGAACAAGACCAAGACTGCAAGACCAAGACTGAATTTGGGCAACACTAGTCCTGGGTTCGAATTTTGATAACTGAGTACTGAAGTTGTTTAGACTGTGGTAGGGCTAAAACTTTTGAATATGTCTGTAGTTCGAGTACGGTTTAAAACGCGAACGATATTAGTCAAACGTATGTTTGATTTATTTCAACTATTATAAAAAAATCTATTGTTCCATGCCCAACGTAGGGGAAAGGACACTTTTTTGTTGTCAAAACCACAACTGTCATTTATAATTTAACATGCATGAAATATTCGTATTATTTGGCTTAGAAACAATTTAACTCTTTGTGTTTATTATATGTTTATCATACCGCGCAGAGATTACCTTTCAAGCATATTTTGTACGAAATATATACTTTCACATTGGCCTTTAAAAATATAGTTTCATGAAATATTGTTTAAATAAAGGTTTTGCTAGGTGTCGAGAATGTACTTGAATATGTATACTATATATAGGAGTACAATTGGAAACTGTAGTCCTCAAAATAATGTTTATTAGGGGATCCTTTGTAACTACTGAATATCAGATGTTAGACTAAAATCGTATATCAAAGTGGCATACATACAAAGTTATAACTTTCACAATAGTCCATTTTGTATTTTATCTCTCGTAATCTTTGATGGCTCACTATTATTTTATTTGTATTCAAGATACAATACCATGCTTGATGGCGTATATTTTTTGCTCACATTTTTGTGTTCTGTAGTTATGGGACAAAAGGCTGTTTCGTGTGTGAAGAATTCTTATTAATTATTTTATCTATTCACGTGCGATCCGTGAGAGTGAAAATACTGCACGACGCGTTCTTATTTCGAAGTCCTAACACCCCTTTTAAATATTTTTTAACGGTTTAAAACGCGAAATATATTACTTAACTTATTTTTCATTTATTTATTGACCGCCCGACGTTTCGAATGCTTTGCAGAAGTCGTGGTCACGGGGAAGGGGAAAATGGTCCCTAAAGTGGAAAAAGATAACGCCATTTTTTAAATTAAATTAAAATAGGTTAACTAATATTTTTGCGTTTTAAACCGTTAAATGTGTTTTTGTATACTACTCGCGTAAAATACATACCAGTGAATATAAGAATACTTAACTTAATTAATGCCTTTTAAACCGTTAATAGTGATAGGTACAGTTTAATATTTTATGTAAAATATCACATATTCAGTTACGCTGTAATTTTAAATACAGCGTTTTATGAGTTTCAGAGCATTTCAACAATCATCGTCTTCCTTAGAAGTCTTCCATTTACGTCTAGTCTAATCTGAAAATGTCCTTCATAGCGCCGTCTTGTTTTTGAGAACTTACACCCTTTTATCAACAAGTTGGTACATCTTTTATGCTAACACTAACCGTGTCACCGACTTCGTCCGCGTAGCATAGTTATTTTGGGCATCCAAATTTGTATTTGCAATTCTCTATCCTTACTTCCTTACTAATATTATACTGAACGGATTTGAATCAAATTTGGTATACAGATGGTCTAGACCTCGAGAAAGAACATAGGCTACGTTTTATTGCGAAAAATAGATTGTAAGGGGTTTAAGGGGGGGGGGTGAATGTTTGTATGGAAATGACGAATTTCAAGAATCAAGAAGTTAATCATAAAAGATAGACATGAAAAATGTGTACCAAAATTTGTTATATCATTTAGAGAGGAATCATTCTTTCATACATATTTTTCAGGTATTTTGAACCGTTATCGCAGACTATCTAGACTCTAGAGTGTATTGAAATAATAAATAATTATTATTCATAATAGATCCGCGTCCCAAAAGGTTCGATAACTTAGATTGATTACATGTCAGTATTGCGTGCTCATGCGCATGGAGTACGCTATATGAAAAACTCGTAACCGGATCCAGTTTGCGCAACGAGCGGTATTCTGTTTTCCCAGAACACAATGGCGGAAACTCCGTCATCAAAACGTGTTGACACTAGTTGAACCTAAAGGAACCAAAAACAACCTTCAGATTTACAATAATAATACCAAGATTCCAACCAATACTGATGATGAAGATTAAGTCTGATAAGCTGATCAATTTGAGCGCTAATCTCAGGAACAGCTAGTTCGAATCAGAGGGTTCTTTTTGTATCTGTTGGATCATTTATCGAGGAAGGCTTGATAACTTCAGGCTGTGATCAATAAGAGCGAAGATACAGTGAGAATGGAAAAAATGGGAAAAATTATTCATGCATAGCGTGCGCTGCGTAAACGGTCTAGAAAACCTAGAATATATGAAGAAAAGAATTATTCTTCTTTCAATATATTTTAAAAATAAACTCAAGGGTGGGGAGCTCGAGGACCTGGATGAATGACCAAGGCATGGTAAAGATCGGCTTTGCCTTGCCTAAGAAGTTGGAACGAAGGCTTTATTATGGCTGGGGTATTTCACCTTTCATCAGCTTCCATCAACTCTGGTATAAAACATTAAGCCTTTTAGAATTACGAAACGAAACAGTAACAATATTGTCTCGTAATTACGCGACGATATGAAAGTTATCACTCGGAAACTAAC